GAAGTATATATATTGAGCAGCATATTATTATGTGTACTAGTAGTATTTTTGCAGAGCTGCATTCGGTACTGTGTACCATTCGTATATACGTAAAACTGCATTTTGTAATATGTAATTGTACATGTTTGTACGTAGAACAGCATTCTGTGATGTGTTCCAGAAGAATAAAGGTGAATGGAATGTGTACTGATTGAAACTATTAAATTATGTGGAGAGCTCCCACAGCTGTGTGGCATTTGATATATTTGACTAATATTTGACTGTGTGGTATTTGACTGCAGATTTCACATGATTGGACAGGGCTATTTACTACTGTATTACCTATTGATGGGATACTTAGTGGCTATACATTATGATCAATCCATCAATATGAGTGAAGGAACTGTAGGGTCGAGGCGTTAAGATTAACTGTCGAAATTGTACTGGTACGCTGGTACATTATATATATATATACTGTGTTTCCATAAGGACACGAACAAACAAAACAAGACAAATGTTCTTCGTGATACCAGATTTGTGACTACTAATGGGGAGTGTGTGTGTGTGTGTGTGTGTGTGTTTATGTGTATGTGTTTGTGTGTGCGTGCGTGCGTGCGTGCGTGCGTGCGTGCGTGCGTGCGTGCGCGTGTGTGTGTCACACGAACAGTACGCAATGTACATTGTACCAGCGGTAAAATATTCTGTGCACCATAAAAAAAAAAAAAAAACCCATTAAGAATCATGCATGATGATCACACGTACAAACACTTTGTCATGATAACCCATGATTGGCCCTGAAAGTGCATGCATAAAATAGTATGTGTAAAGAAACCCGCTACGCTCACACAGTACACGTGAGGCCAATCAATTCAACCACAGAATACACCGTTGAAGTGTTAAAAAGAACTTTATTGACAGACAAACTTCGTTAATGTAATGCTGCGCCATTTCAAATATGCAATAATTGAAATGCATGGAACTGGATTTACCGAAAACGTTGTTGCTAGGCGCTTTGGTGTTGATCGTGACACCATAGTCAATATATGGCTGACACCACCACCAGAGACCGAATAGGGTGGAAACATTGAACATTAACTCTTATATTTACATTTAATCACGATATATCACACTGCACATATCTGCCGTACCGAACGCTAATGTCAGTCCACCAGACGACTGGGCAACCAGTGCCCCCGAATAAAACAGGGTGTAGAAGATAGATAGATATTAACTCAAAGGAGACGGACATGTGGTTCAGTTTATCACCCCAGAAGGTTTGATACAATACACCGCGGGAGTTAGAGTCAGGAATAACTAATTATCCGGATTTCAAACATTATATTAATTACGTTCATATACGGGTGAGATTCCCCGAGGCGCCCTGCAAAAAGCTCCTCACGATCCACCTGTGCGGCTGCTTACTGTCAAGCGGAAACAGGTAAGGAATCGTATCATAAGGCTCGCAATTTGGTGTACATAGATGCGCGACTTGGTTTGTCAGGAGATACTGATCGTGGGTTCATTTGATGAATCGCAAAATTAATAACACGAATACATGTGACATGCTACTTATGGTTTAGCGCTACCCATATATTACCAGAACAGTCTTGAAGCAAGTGAACGCACCAAGAAAATGGTAATTTAAACCTGTGGGTACAAGGAGGACACATCATATGAGAATTATTTAAACAAAGTTTCGTGTGAATGTTTTCGCCACAGTAACAATATTCCATCAAAGCACCAGCGACATAATCGATTCCAGACGAGCAGGCTCAATGGCAACAGAAAATGCAACTAAGAGGTACAGTGATATGTGTCACGACGCAAAAAACTGCGGCAAATTGTAATAACTACTGCGGTAAATTGTAAAATATTATTCATTTGCAAATATACAAAGAAACGTGCATGAAGTTGTGCATGAACTCTGAGAGTAACCTGTTTGAAAATAAAAATCCGGACTGAATTGATAAAGACTATACATTAAATTTTTTATATTTGGTATTTACTCCAAACAGAATTTGAGTTCCAGTGATTTTGTTTCAATTTCTGTCATTCCTATAGAGAGGCAGGTTCAGCAAATTGTAACAAACTGCGGCAAATTGTAATACCAAGGGCCGTAAATTGTAATAATATCTCTCAAGCCTTCGGATTTCAAACAGAATTCGAGTTACAGTGTTTGTTGGCGCTCAACATGATCAATTCCAACCTCGAGCATGTTTAAGGAAATCAAACAAACGATATTGTTTCAATTTCTGCCATTCCTATTGAGATGCAGGTACGGCAAAATTGTAACAAACTGCGGCAAACTGTAATTCCAAGTAAATTGTAATATCTCTCCCTCCTTCAAATTCCAAACAAAATCACTGGAACTCGAATTCTCTTTGAAGTAAATGCAAATATTAAAAATGTAATGTATTGTAGTCTTTATCAATTCAGTCTTTTCAAAGTCCGGATTTTGATTTTCAAACAACTTAGCCTCACATTTTAAACTTCGTGCATGTTTCTTTTGATATTAGCAAAGGAATAATATTTTATTACCATTTCACGCAGTGGTTGTTACAATTTGCCGCAGTTTTTATTGCGATCTACCGCGGTGGAGTTATCACAATTTACAGCAGTTTCTATTACAATTTACCGCTCTTTTTATTGCGATTTACCGCGGTGGAGTTATCACAATTTACAGCAGTTTCTATTACAATTTACCGCAGCTTTTATTACAATTTACCGCATTTTAAGTTATTATAATTTACGTCGTAAAAACATGTTAGACGAAAATGTCACACAAACCGCATGTAATATACCAGCGGAAAAATATTCTGTGCACCATAAAAAAAAATCATATTAAGATATAATGCCATGCATTTTTCAGAATCATGCATGATGATCACATGTACAAACACTTTGTCATGATAACCCACGATGACCCTGAAAGTGCATGCATAAAATCTTATGTGTAAGAAATCCGCCAGGCTTTCACAGTACAGTCAGTTCATACACAGAATACATCGTTGAAGTGTTTAACAGTTAAAAAGAACTTTGTTGACAGACAATCTTCGTAAATGTCATGCCACGCCATTCCAAAATTGAGTCGCTGCGTGCAATATTTTGGAATGCTTGGAACTGGATTTGCTGGGGGCGTTGATGTTCATCGTAACACCATGGTCAATCTGGGGCTGACAACACCAGGGACCGAATACGGTTTAAGCATTAAACATTAACTGTTATATTTACATTTAAAGACGATATATCATACTGCACACATCTGCCGTACCGTACGCTACTGTCCGTCCACATTAGAACAATTAAATAGTATAAAGTGTTCTCAGTTTACAGCGAAAGACTAATTTTAACCTTGGTATATAAACCACCATGTCAACCTTGCTTGTCCAAACTCTTTGGCGTTAAGTAACACATTAAAGTCTAAATCTTTGATGTGGAATAAAACAGGGTGTAGTTTTCCTGTGGTGACCTTTTATATTTACTGGTGATACCCATTCGTCATTTGAGACAATTCCTCGCCGCTCTGTGACATCCAACCGTTTAATGTGACAGCGTAAGGCGCTACTCCGTACATTTTATGTATATGTAAGCTTTTGTGGTTTTACACCCAGCCAACATGTTGGTTTACTGGACAAGTAGATACGTGAGTTATTAGGTAACAGTTTACTATGTGGCCTTGTCGTGAACATATCCATTTATCTTCCATGTTAACTTGTCATAGATGTGCTAGTTTCTTAATTGTCAGCTGTTGTCAAGCTGCACATTGTTACCATTTTGCAGTCATTGGCACGAGTGTATAACCAGCCATTTCAACATCGGATTATTACATAATGTTAACAAATTGACTGTGTGTTTCAGATACAGCCATGAAGTGTGTCGCCCTTCTGAGTTTACTCTCCCTCCTGAAAGTGAGTACATATAGTACGGAACAGGTAATAAATTGGAGAAACACTCACATATCCCACTAGCGAGATGAATAATAATGAGCGTTACAGGTTACTCACGGAAATGATAGCATTTATCAGACAGTGGATACATAACAAAGGTTATCGATGCGACAAACCAACCCGATAAATATCACGATCTAATGAATATGCAAATTAGGTCATCTGGCAGGAACTACTTTTGGAAAACTCCCTACATCCCTGAGGAATCTCAAATATACATTGCATGTTTGCTCAATAACGTATTACCTTACGTTCACCAAACGTTTAGGAGTCCCCATGTGTGGATGTTTCCGTGAATAAACGTGGCTACAAACTATTTGGTACTATACAATAATGAAGTAAGAGAATTGAGTGAGTGAAATAGGTCTTACCTGTTATTTTCAGAATGACATACTCTCGTGTGTTTCCATTGGAAAACAGTAAATAGTGAGTGAGTGAGTATGGTTTAACGCCGCTTTTAGCAATATTATAGCAATATCACTGCGGGGGACACCAGAAAAGGGCTTTTACACATTGTAACTATGTGGGGAACCGGACCCGGATCTTCGGTGTGACGAGCAAACGCTTTAACCACTAGCCGACCCGACCGCCCTTAAGCAGTAAATAGGACAAAAACGTATATACCATGCTCGCCAAACGTTCACATAATTATTGTCTGTATTTAATTTATGAAGGTGGGCATAACACATAATTTATATTCCTTATCAATATATGTTATTATACGATATGGAAACACACGAGTCTGTGTCAATTTTAAAAAAGACACTGAACTAATAATTCCTATTGTTCTTTGTCCTGATTGCGATCTCACACTTCGATTTGTATTGTCACATTATATCTGAAGGATACTTCGAATACTCATTTTTCCTTTAAAGTATTGCATGCTTTAAATACAACAATCGTTTTAAGATATTTGTTGTTATAACACTATTTGGTATGAACACTTTAGACGGAAATATGTCAATGCTGTGAAACACAATATGAATTATCTCCTGTAATTCCAAACCTTCAAACTGCAAAGTGCAAAGATTGAGTACACAACGATAAAGCTAATGCGGTAACAAACCATATAACATGCCGTTGAATTTTCTGCAGATTCAAGGGGGCGAGCTGATGTCGCAAAACACAACATCAACCACATTGATCATATCAAGAAATGGCACCACTGAAGCTGACACCATATGGTCTTCTGAGGAACCTCAACATAACAAGTCAAAGGGAAATAACTCCGACGATAACCCTCCTACCACCCTCGCTGGGATCCCGGATAACTACCTTGATCGTGTATACATCTACTGGTATTACCTGGGAGGGGTAGTCTGTAGTATCATTTCCTTTGTAGGAATTGGGGGAAATATCGTAACAATGATAATTCTTTTAAGTCCTGAGATGAAAAGTTCCACAAGCATCTTCCTGATAGTTCTAGCGATGTTTGACAGTTGTTTGCTGTTAACAAATATCTTAATCACTGGTATGAAATGGCTCCTGGTTTACACAGATTATTATTCTTCCTATGTCTATCACTTCATGCTGCCTGCATACCCTACAATGTTCGCCATATCCAGCATCTCCCATACTGGGTCGATCTACATCGTTGTTGCAGTCAACGTTGAACGATACATCGCTGTGTGCCATCCTCTCAAAGCAGCATCGTTCTGCACCATCTCCCGAGCCATAAAAACGTCCATGGGTGTCGTGATGATGTGTGTCTTATACAATGTACCCCGTTATTTTGAAGTGTATCTCAAATGGGACTGGGTACCCGAGTTCAACCAAACCATGTTAGTAGTGGGCATCTCTGATATGTCCTACAACTATTGGTACTTGACAGTCTACTTGGTCTACATCAACGTCATCGTCAAATTTGTCATCCCTGGAGTCCTATTGGTCATCCTTAACACGATCATGGTCCGCAAGCTCTACCGTACAAAGCCTAACCTTCAGAAACAGGAGCGGAAAGGAAGTGAGAAGGAGCGTTTCACAGCAATGGTTCTGGCAGTGGTGGTAGTCTTCCTAGTGTCACTCGCAGCAGCCTGTATGGAGCTGATCATGTATGAAGTCAATTCGGCAATCACTTTGGATGAGTGTTCGGAGATTTGTGGCTATATAAGCGGTGTCAGTCAGATATCAGTAGTCATCAATTCGGCCGTCAATTTTATACTCTTCTGTTTTTTTGGACGGAGGTTCCGTGGGGTGTTCGTGAAGAAGTTCCTATCTTGCTGTAGACGATGATCAATATAGGTCAGGTTTCTGCTATTACATGGCATCCAACAAGCGCTTTGTTATGTAGCCAGATTTGTCATCACATTATCCGTGTTTGTTTTTTCATTTCACCAAAGCGGTACACGTGAAAAACATGCACACGTCTGGCCGTAATACTAATGTAATTCTAATAAATCATATTCTGTATAATGATTCCGATGAAACACAATTGTCTGTATTTACGAAGCAACATACTCTCATATATTAATATGAATATCTTTTTGTGTGTATTTTTGTGACCCATGACAAGATCGTCTCTATTACGGAAGGAAGCCCAGGTCATTTGCTTCATCCAGCAAATCGACACACAAAAAGCAGTATCGGACAGCAGGGTAGAGTCCTGAGGTGAGCTGAGGTGAAATGGGGTTAAACGTGGCGTCCAAGATAATTGCACTTACATAGCACGTGTGTATGTGCGTATGTGCGTGTGCGTGTGCAAGTGCGTGCGTGCTTGCGTGCGTGTGGCTGCTTGTACCGGTCCGGACTAATGCCGATTTTATGTGCTAGCCCACTGAGATACCATGCCGTAGTTTAACATGAATACCCCACACAGCATAGAGACTCCAAGCCGACCAGTCTTTGATTTAGGCCCTTAATACCGAGCGCCAAGCAGGGTAACAACAAGTACCGACTGTTGGCATGACACGGCCGGCCAGGGATCGAACACCCGACCTTCCGCTCTCTGTGCGGACGCTCTACCACTAGACCACTGAGTGGATCCTAGAATCCAGAGCCAAGTGCTCCTTTAAGTAGAATCTAATATAAAGTTTCAGTGTTAACCACCTGCTACATGACTAATTGTGCGTCATCAAACGTGTCCCTCCTCCTGACCAATCAGATTCCACATCTCGTATCACTTGCATTTGTCCAGTCTGATGGACAGTCGAGATCTATTTTCCCAAAAAAAGGTTTTACCCTGCGAAGTGCATCAAATTAGGTGAGCACCTTGTAATGTTGTCTAGTAGAATAGATGTGGAACTGCATTCTGTAAAGTGTTCTAGTAGTAGATATGTGGAACTGCATTATGTAATGTGCACTAGCAGTATATATGTAGAACTGCATTCTGTAATGAGTTCTAGTAGTATATGTGTGGAACTGCATTATGTAATGTGTACTAGTAGTAGATATGTGGAATTGCATTATGTAATGTGTTCCTCTAGTTTGTATGTGGAACTGCATTATGTAATGTGTCCTAGTAGTATACATGTGGAACTGCATTCTGTGAAGAGTTCTTGTAGTATATATGTGGAACTGCATTCTGTGAAGAGTTCTTGTAGTATATATGTGGAACTGCATTATGTAATGTATTCTAGTAGTATACATGTGGAACTGCATTATGTAATGTGTCCTAGTAGTATACATGTGGAACTGCATTCTGTGAAGAGTTCTTGTAGTATATATGTGGAACTGCATTCTGTGAAGAGTTCTTGTAGTATATATGTGGAACTGCATTTTGTAATGTATTCTAGTAGTATACATGTGGAACTGCATTCTGTGAAGAGTTCTTGTAGTATATATGTGGAACTGCATTTTGTAATGTATTCTGGTAGTATACATGTGGAACTGCATTCTGTGAAGTGTTCTTGTAGTACGTATGTGGAACTGCATTCTGTAATGTATTCTAGTAGTATGTAGGTGAAACTGCATTCTGTGAAGTGTTCTAGTAGTATATATGTGGAACTGCATTCTGTAATGTATTCTAGTAGTATGTAGGTGGAACTGCATTCTGTGAAGTGTTCTAGTAGCAGATATGTCGAACTGCATTCTGTGATTCTGTGAAGTGTCCTAGTAGTAGATATGTGGAACTGCATTCTATTATGTGTTCTAGAAGTATATATATTGAGCAGCATATTATTATGTGTACTAGTAGTATTTTTGCAGAGCTGCATTCGGTACTGTGTACCATTCGTATATACGTAAAACTGCATTTTGTAATATGTAATTGTACATGTTTGTACGTAGAACAGCATTCTGTGATGTGTTCCAGAAGAATAAAGGTGAATGGAATGTGTACCGATTGAAACTATTAAATTATGTGGAGAGCTCCCACAGCTGTGTGGCATTTGATATATTTGACTAATATTTGACTGTGTGGTATTTGACTGCAGATTTCACATGATTGGACAGGGCTATTTACTACTGTATTACCTATTGATGGGATACTTAGTGGCTATACATTATGATCAATCCATCAATATGAGTGAAGGAACTGTAGGGTCGAGGCGTTAAGATTAACTGTCGTAATTGTACTGGTACCCTGGTACATTATATATATATATATACTGTGTTTCCATAAGGACACGAACAAACAAAACAAGACAAATGTTCTTCGTGATACCAGATTTGTGACTACTAATGGGGAGTGTGTGTGTGTGTTTGTGTGTGTGTATGTGTTTGTGTGTGCGTGCGTGCGTGCGTGCGTGCGTGCGTGTGTGTGTGTCACACGAACAGTACGCAATGTACATTGTACCAGCGGTAAAATATTCTGTGCACCATAAAAAAACCCCAAAAAACCCATTAAGAATCATGCATGATGATCACACGTACAAACACTTTGTCATGATAACCCATGATTGGCCCTGAAAGTGCATGCATAAAATAGTATGTGTAAAGAAACCCGCTACGCTCACACAGTACACGTGAGGCCAAATCAATTCAACCACAGAATACACCGTTGAAGTGTTAAAAAGAACTTTATTGACAGACAAACTTCGTTAATGTGATGCTGCGCCATTTCAAATATGCAATAATTGAAATGCATGGAACTGGATTTACCGAAAACGTTGTTGCTAGGCGCTTTGGTGTTGATCGTGACACCATAGTCAATATATGGCTGACACCACCGCCAGAGACCGAATAGGGTGGAAACATTGAACATTAACTGTTATATTTACATTTAATCACGATATATCACACTGCACATATCTGCCGTACCGAACGCTAATGTCAGTCCACCAGACGACTGGGCAACCAGTGCCCCCGAATAAAACAGGGTGTAGAAGATAGATAGATATTAACTCAAAGGAGACGGACATGTGGTTCAGTTCAGGGGGGGGGGGGGGGATAAGGCTCGCAATTTGGTGTACATAGATGCGCGACTTGGTTTGTCAGGAGATACTGATCGTGGGTTCATTTGATGAATCGCAAAATTAATAACACGAATACATGTGACATGCTACTTATGGTTTAGCGCTACCCATATATTACCAGAACAGTCTTGAAGCAAGTGAACGCACCAAGAAAATGGTAATTTAAACCTGTGGGTACAAGGACACATCATATGAGAATTATTTAAACAAAGTTTCGTGTGAATGTTTTCGCCACAGTAACAATATTCCATCAAAGCACCAGCGACATAATCGATTCCAGACGAGCAGGCTCAATGGCAACAGAAAATGCAACTAAGAGGTACAGTGATATGTGTCACGACGCAAAAAACTGCGGCAAATTGTAATAACTACTGCGGTAAATTGTAAAATATTATTCATTTGCAAATATACAAAGAAACGTGCATGAAGTTGTGCATGAACTCTGAGAGTAACCTGTTTGAAAATAAAAATCCGGACTGAATTGATAAAGACAATACATTAAATTTTTTATATTTGGTATTTACTCCAAACAGAATTTGAGTTCCAGTGATTTTGTTTCAATTTCTGTCATTCCTATAGAGAGGCAGGTTCAGCAAATTGTAACAAACTGCGGCAAATTGTAATACCAAGGGCCGTAAATTGTAATAATATCTCTCAAGCCTTCGGATTTCAAACAGAATTCGAGTTACAGTGTTTGTTGGCGCTCAACATGATCAATTCCAACCTCGAGCATGTTTAAGGAAATCAAACAAACGATATTGTTTCAATTTCTGCCATTCCTATTGAGATGCAGGTGCGGCAAATTGTAACAAAACTGCGGCAAACTGTAATTCCAAGTGCGGTAAATTGTAATATCTCTCCCTCCTTCAAATTCCAAACAAAATCACTGGAACTCGAATTCTGTTTGAAGTAAATGCAAATATTAAAAATGTAATGTATTGTAGTCTTTATCAATTCAGTCTTTTCAAAGTCCGGATTTTGATTTTCAAACAACTTAGCCTCACATTTTAAACTTCGTGCATGTTTCTTTTGATATTAGCAAAGGAATAATATTTTATTACCATTTCACGCAGTGGTTGTTACAATTTGCCGCAGTTTTTATTGCGATCTACCGCGGTGGAGTTATCACAATTTACAGCAGTTTCTATTACAATTTACCGCTCTTTTTATTGCGATTTACCGCGGTGGAGTTATCACAATTTACAGCAGTTTCTATTACAATTTACCGCAGCTTTTATTACAATTTACCGCATTTTAAGTTATTACAATTTGCGCAGATTTATAACATTTACCGCAGTGTTATAACATTTTACTGCAGTTGATCACACTTTTCAGCGTTATTACAATTTACGTCGTAAAAACATGTTAGACGAAAATGTCACACAAACCGCATGTAATATACCAGCGGAAAAATATTCTGTGCACCATAAAAAAAAATAATATTAAGATATAATGCCATGCATTTTTCAGAATCATGCATGATGATCACATGTACAAACACTTTGTCATGATAACCCACGATGACCCTGAAAGTGCATGCATAAAATCTTATGTGTAAGAAATCCGCCAGGCTTTCACAGTACAGTCAGTTCATACACAGAATACATCGTTGAAGTGTTTAACAGTTAAAAAGAACTTTGTTGACAGACAATCTTCGTAAATGTCATGCCACGCCATTCGAAAAATGAGTCGCTGCGTGCAATATTTTGGAATGCTTGGAACTGGATTTCCTGGGCGCGTTGATGTTCATCGTAACACCATGGTCAATCTGGGGCTGACAACACCAGGGACCGAATACGGTTTAAGCATTAAACATTAACTGTTATATTTACATTTAAAGACGATATATCATACTGCACACATCTGCCGTACCGTACGCTAATGTCAGTCTACATTAGAACAATTAAATAGTATAAAGTGTTCACAGTTCACAGCGAAAGACTAATTTTAACCTTGGTATATAAACCACCATGTCAACCTTGCTTGTCATAGCTCCAACATAGACATCCAACCGTTTAATGTGACAGCATAAGGCGCTACTCCGTACATTATATGTGTATGTAAGCTTTTGTGGTTTTACACCCAGCAAACATGTTGGTTTACTGGACAAGTAGATACGTGAGTTATTAGGTAAAAGTTTACTATGTGGCCTTGTCGTGAACATATCCATTTATCTTCCATGTTAACTTGTCATAGATGTGCTAGTTTCTTAATTGTCAGCTGTTGTCAAGCTGCACATTGTTACCATTTTGCAGTCATTGGCACGAGTGTATAACCAGCCATTTCAACATCGGATTATTACATAATGTTAACAAATTGACTGTGTGTTTCAGATACAGCCATGAAGTGTGTCGCCCTTCTGAGTTTACTCTCCCTCCTGAAAGTGAGTACATATAGTACGGAACAGGTAATAAATTGGAGAAACACTCACATATCCCACTAGCGAGATGAATAATAATGAGCGTTACAGGTTACTCACGGAAATGATAGCATTTATCAGACAGTGGATACATAACAAAGGTTATCGATGCGACAAACCAACCCGATAAATATCACGATCTAATGAATATGCAAATTAGGTCATCTGGCAGGAACTACTTTTGGAAAACTCCCTACATCCCTGAGGAATCTCAAATATACATTGCATGTTTGCTCAATAACGTATTACCTTACGTTCACCAAACGTTTAGGAGTCCCCATGTGTGGATGTTTCCGTGAATAAACGTGGCTACAAACTATTTGGTACTATACAATAATGAAGTAAGAGAATTGAGTGAGTGAAATAGGTCTTACCTGTTATTTTCAGAATGACATACTCTCGTGTGTTTCCATTGGAAAACAGTAAATAGTGAGTGAGTGAGTATGGTTTAACGCCGCTTTTAGCAATATTATAGCAATATCACTGCGGGGGACACCAGAAAAGGGCTTTTACACATTGTAACTATGTGGGGAACCGGACCCGGATCTTCGGTGTGACGAGCAAACGCTTTAACCACTAGCCGACCCGACCGCCCTTAAGCAGTAAATAGGACAAAAACGTATATACCATGCTCGCCAAACGTTCACATAATTATTGTCTGTATTTAATTTATGAAGGTGGGCATAACACATAATTTATATTCCTTATCAATATATGTTATTATACGATATGGAAACACACGAGTCTGTGTCAATTTTAAAAAAGACACTGAACTAATAATTCCTATTGTTCTTTGTCCTGATTGCGATCTCACACTTCGATTTGTATTGTCACAATATATCTGAAGGACTTCACTACTTCGAATACTCATTTTTCCTTTTAAAGTTTTGCATGCTTTAACTACAACAATTGTTTTAAGATATTTGTTGTTATAACGCTATTTGGTATGAACACTTTAGACGGAAATATGTCAATGCTGTGAAACACAATATGAATTATCTCCTGTAATTCCAAACCTTCAAACTGCAAAGTGCAAAGATTGAGTACACAACGACAAAGCTAATGCGGTAACAATACCATTTTCTGAAGATTCAAGGGGGCGAGCTGATGTCGCAAAACACAACATCAACCACATTGATTATATCAAGAAATGGCACCACTGAAGCTGACACCATATGGTCTTCTGAGGAACCTCAACATAACAAGTCAAAGGGAAATAACTCCGACGATAACCCTCCTACCACCCTCGCTGGGATCCCGGATAACTTCCTTGATCGTGTATACATCTACTGGTATTACCTGGGAGGGGTAGTCTGTAGTATCATTTCCTTTGTAGGAATTGGGGGAAATATCGTAACAATGATAATTCTTTCAAGTCCTGAGATGAAAAGTTCCACAAGCATCTTCCTGATAGTTCTAGCGACGTTTGACAGTTGTTTGCTGTTAACAAATATCTTAATCACTGGTATGAAATGGCTCCTGGTTTACACAGATTATTATTCTTCCTATGTCTATCACTTCATGCTGCCTGCATACCCTACAATGTTCGCCATATCCAGCATCTCCCATACTGGGTCGATCTACATCGTTGTTGCAGTCAACGTTGAACGATACATCGCTGTGTGCCATCCTCTCAAAGCAGCATCGTTCTGCACCATCTCCCGAGCCATAAAAACGTCCATGGGTGTCGTGATGATGTGTGTCTTATACAATGTACCCCGTTATTTTGAAGTGTATCTCAAATGGGACTGGGTACCCGAGTTCAACCAAACCATGTTAGTAGTGGGCATCTCTGATATGTCCTACAACTATTGGTACTTGACAGTCTACTTGGTCTACATCAACGTCATCGTCAAATTTGTCATCCCTGGAGTCCTATTGATCATCCTTAACACGATCATGGTCCGCAAGCTCTACCGTACAAAGCCTAACCTTCAGAAACAGGAGCGGAAAGGAAGTGAGAAGGAGCGTTTCACAGCAATGGTTCTGGCAGTGGTGGTAGTCTTCCTGGTGTCACTCGCAGCAGCCTGTATGGAGCTGATCATGTATGAAGTCAATTCGGCAATCACTTTGGATGAGTGTTCGGAGATTTGTGGCTATGTAAGCGGTGTCAGTCAGATATCAGTAGTCATCAATTCGGCCGTCAATTTTATACTCTTCTGTTTTTTGGGACGGAAGTTCCGTGGGGTGTTCGTGAAGAAGTCCCTATCCTGCTGTAGACGATGATCAATATAGGTCAGGTTTCTGCTGTTACATGGCATCCAACAAGCGCTTTATTATGTAGCCAGATTTGTCATCACATTATCCGTGTTTTTTCCCCATTTCACCAAAGCGGTACACGTGAAAAACATGCACACGTCTGGCCGTAATACTAGTATGACTCCAATATTGCTCAAACCGGCGTTAAACTAACGATTCATGTAATTTCGAGAAATTCGATTGACTAACGAGTAAAAAAAAGTAATTATAACTCGAAGAATACAAAAATGAAGCTCACGCTCTCATTCAAACTATTTCTCAACGGAAAATGTAAGTTACGATGGTTCTTGTTAACAGAATCTGTGCTTTTACAGATATATAGAATATCAACGTTATCCTCGTCTAACATTATAATCAACGTATTGGGGAGTTTTCGATAGGCATGATTGACACGTCACGTATAATCGATGTTACTGAATGTATGTATAACGTTATTATTGTTCTGTTCAAGGAGGATCCATGCATTTTAAACGCTGGTTTGTCGATTCTGTACTCGATGAACAGAAAATGATAAGTCAATCTCAAAATGAGTTGACATTCACCCCTGATGTGTGTCACGTCCCTGCTTTATGCCGAGTCAGAATAGTCCTTTGTACTTCAGGAATGTCATACAAGGCGACTCTCAAGGAGGAACGGGTTGTCTCATCTGTGAATGCTCCAATCTCGTTTTTGCGTATCCTGACATATCAACACTCGTAGAAATATCCTCGAGAAGCTGTTAGGTTAATCACCTCATGTGAGATTAAGACACTCTGGTGATACTATCAGCCTCAACAATTTCCAAATTACCGACATATTTCAAATCTGTATTGAAATCAGCGCCTCAATTCAAGAATTTCTAAAACATCAGGAAATCGGTTAAATGAGAAAGAATACGTTAACTTTGGAAACAAGTTTAAAACTGTTTTAAATAATTATCAACAGAAAATATCCGTTTGAGAAATCGTATTCTGTATAATGTTTCCGATGAAACACAATCGTCTATATTTACGAAGCAACACTCACATTTATTAACATATATATCTTTTCGTGTGTATTTTGTGTGACTCATGATAAGATCGTAATGATCAACGTCTCTATTACAGAAGGAAGCCCAGGTCGTGCCACAGTTTAACACGATGCTCCCCTCAGACACAGTATACCGACACCAAGCCGGCCAGACCCTGGTTTAGGCCCTTGATACTGAGCGCCAGGCAGGGTAACAACAATAATAATGAAGCTGGAATAACTAATGCTGCGGACGAGGTAGTAAAACAAAGACTCACAACTCGCACAACTTATGAAAGTTTTGTGTCGCGTGATTAAACTGAAGCAAATTAATGTAATCTAAATATAATCAACTTAAATCTAAATCCTTCTTAATACTGCATGTGATTATGGACAATCACACACTGAACGACTAAATATGACATTTAGTCGTTCAACACTGTGAAGGATCTTATGAACATCAACCAAAACATCCAAAAGCAATATTGTCCGATATGGTTACTGGGGAGTCAGTGGCATGTTATGCTAAAATGATGTTAAATAGATATTTTTCAATGCTAACACAGGGATGACCCGCGACAATGGACATCAAACAAAATACGATGTCATCATTAGAAAAACATACATGTACATGCCAAAAAGTTCAGCTTTCCCAGTCTGGCAATTTCAGAGATGTTTACAGCTGCCAAAAGCATTTTGACAGAATCGAAGAGCACTACAGTACATGAGAGGAGGGAGCAGTGGCCATAAATAGCTTCATCAATATCCCTACCATATGACTGGACCAAGGGAACCGAACATTGAATAGCCCAATACAAGCAGCAATGGGAATGAGGGCTTGTCAGTACATACTCAGTTGCTTCCAAACTACTTTTACATGATCAGGATTCCAGGTTGACATGTATTTCTCAGAACAGATCACAGTTACAAATCGGTAATCACGAGTAGTTATTTAAATAACCTAACGATACAGATACCAATATTTTTTATTAAAAGTATATCCCTATTTGAATCAGCTGAAGCCTCTTTGTCAGTCAGTTGTAATCATTTACAACATTAATGACCTATTAATAGAAGTACCGGGTACATTCTGAGTGAGGAAACACTTATTTACCTGGAATCACAAACTTAATATTCCACTCAAATGACAAGCTATTTCACCAAAACAAATTTCCATTTGCTCACTGACACTACAGCTTTCAGACCAAGACATACATGTCCAGTTGGGAAACATGTATTCAGGGCATACTTAACTTGCCTTGTTAAATAATCTATTAAGTGCTGAGCAACTCCTGAAAACATAACAGAAGTCACACTAATCCATGAGACATGCATGTTATTTGGCCAGATGTGTCAAATATACTCAGACCATGCTAACAACCACAGTTTCAACAACAAAAAGTCGTCGAAGGTTGTGACCTTAGTAACAATAACAAATGGCTTGGCAAAATATTTTATTCATGTACTAAAATTCTGTCAAAAATACAAAATATAATATCTGCATAAAACATTCACAATATATCAACCAATATATATAGACAGACTTATTGTAAAACAAATTTCAGAAGGATGTATATATCAATAATTGCATACAACACATTATGCATGTCCCAGTCTAGGTCTGAAGCTATTTCGGTTGAAAACATGTCTGCGAGTTCATATGGTGAATCAACAAAGAAAAATACCTCTGTGACATATTACGCAACTAAAGGTGAATATGTTTATCAAATAATCAATTACAGTAATTAACCTAGTGTCCTTATTTATACACAATTTACTTACGTATTGGGGTACAATATATAATACAGATATACACGGAATGATTTCTTATTTTGTCAATTTAATCATAACCCAAATCATACAAATCGAACATGTGAAAATAAAAGTAGTGACTAACTTTATGATCAAGGGTATAAATACTCAATTGTATCTATTAATCCTAATAGTATAACAATAAATCCTGTGTATTTACTGAGCATATTTAGGTACATCCGGATCTACGACCGCAGTCATATAATCAATCAAGGAAAGTATATTAGATTATATTAAAAATGTGCTAAAAATCACTAAAACAAAATTTTCCGTTATCCACGTAAGCCTAAACCTGGGAGAAATAAAGTTCCGTTCTGTTCTGAAGACGCCGTCATGATTAGTTGGCGCCAGTCTAGACTGTCCAATCAACGTGAATATACAAACCGTGATGTTACTTGACCAGTTGATGACACCTTTAGCGCACTTGATTGTTTTATTTGCAGTTATATCACATTTTGTTGTTTTTGTTAACGATCGTTTCCATTTTCAACGTGGTAACCTTATAAGTGACTAACTTTTTTATCATGATGAAATGAAACATATTAAAATAATCAGAGGGACTGATGATCGCATTTTTCGCATAAATGTCATGCTCGCATAAAATTCATGATTTACTGAAGATAGATTTAAACATTTCTGAGCAACGATCATGTTTGGGCAAGGGAAGTAATCTTGTCTCCGCTTGCAATTAGATTCAATCGGGCGAGCAGTTCTGAGATCGCAGCTTGACTGTTCGGTACGGCCGAAAGGCAGCATCCATGTTGTTCATGCTCCGCTGATCACGGGGCCTCATTTGTCTGTATTCTGCTTATGAGCTGGGATGCGCATGAAACACAGGTGTCAAAACGAATATATTTACCAATTTTATGTACGGTCAATTAGCCAGTTCAAGAGACAATACCCTGGTTCTACCACCTTTAGTGAGTGAGTGAGTGAGTTGGGTTTAACGCCGCTTTTAACATTATTCCAGTTATATCACGGCGTGTCAGCTTAATGTGGGAGGAAAGCCCGAAGTGATGCAGGTCTAAGACGTTTACCACTTCGGTGAAACCCACGAGCATGGGTATGGTGCTGACAAACCTAGAAACATAATTGGGGCGAACCGGGATTCGAACCCACAATCATAGGTTTCTGGCACAATAACAAATGGCTTGGCAAAATATTTTATTCATGTTCTAAAATTCTGTCAAAAATACAAAATATAATATCTGCATAAAACATTCACAATATATCAACCAATATATATAGACAGACTTATTGTAAAACAAATTTCAGAAGGATGTATATCTCAATAATTGCATACAACACATTATGCATGTCCCAGTCTAGGTCTGAAGCTATTTCGGTTGAAAACATGTCTGCGAGTTCATATGGTGAATCAACAAAGAAAAATACCAACTACTACAAAAAAGAATTTGCTGGTAATTTAAATGAAATTATAATATATATATATAATATTGAAATGGAAACAATTGGTATTGGTAAGGGACAAATAATTTGATATTAAAGGATGGGGGGGAGAAGAGGCTAGGATTTTATTGAAAAAAATATATTGTCCCAGAAAATGCTTAAAAATATATGTATGCTTCAGAGATTTGGAAAAAGACGTTTTCTTTCAAAAAAAGATTTAGGCTCATAGGTATAATTAAAAAGGTATGTGGTTTTCCATTATATCAAATGGTCAGTCCCTGATAAGGACCAGTAAAACCAGACAATGGTAACAAAGTGACCAGTGGACAGTTTATCTCTCTCTCATGTTTATTCAGACAACCATCCTTGCATGTCATTTGACAATCACACACAGCCATGTCACATGATGTGAAATCAAACAGTATGTTGCAGTGTTGTACAAATGTAAGCCTTCTGTATTTTACATATTTGTATATGAATATTGTAATGACATGATTACTGTGCTGTATTGAATAAACCGGTACAGCTGATGTACTTCTACTGCTGTACTTTCAGCAGAATAATAACTTGGCCCTGCTTTTATTCAACTACTATTAGTATGGGGTATGGAAGGTTTCTTGGGTCCTTTTGTTTAAGTCAGCTTATGCTTGATTGGCCTTGTTAAAAATACTAACACACACTCAGCCTTTAATCAGAATCCACATCCGTCATTTGCTTGGTGTGTCATGTCTCATCTCGAGATTGTCCTCACGTGTTGGTGGTGTATTCTGTGCATCTTGTAATTATGTATGTGTTTGTGTAATCTGTTATACAGTTACAAAGTTTTAACTTTTATCTTAATTGTCAATACACGTAGTCACATAATTGCAGCCATTTAAATATTATAGATAGGTCAGCAAGTTTTTTAATAGTTTAAGGCATACAGAAACCTAGCACTATATATCTTCAACATTTCTAGGAGAATGAGTGGGTGTGTATTTACTACCATGTATGTGTTTGTTTGAAATTTTCTATGTTGTTAATGCATGTGAAGCACTCATAGGTGTGTTATGAATAATACATAATTCATGTTTGCTACACTACCCAGTTTTCCTAACTGAGTCTATTTGTATTTAGATGCAGGCACCCTAGTCTAGTCAGCTCATCACTTGGTGAACTCAGGTTGTGCCCTAGGATCAACCACAGGGTAGGAGTGTATTTTTGTGTATTAATGTAATTTATAATTATGAATATTATATCATTATGCATGTAAACAGATACATATATATGTAGATATATAGAAAATTACTGTAAATAATAACACATCATTGAATGTACTTGTTAAATATATGAGTTCAGTTTATTTCTATGATGTCATCCTTATGAGGTTCTGAATGAATATATATGATTGCATGTGAATGTGATCTATTCACGCTTAGCAAACTATCAATTCAAGATCTGAAAACTAAGCTCAATAAAATTGTGGAATGTCTAATAGATGGTAGAGATTGCATGGCAGTACTTCCCACAGGCTGTGCTGTCTCTTCTGTCATAATGTTTATCCCATGAGATGAGCATTTTGACAGAATCAGTCCATCCTCCTGTAACTGTCATTCAGAATACCCTGTGGTATTTGTGGCTTTTTCAAGGTTGCGTGATTAGAAAACACGTTCCGACTGTCACTTTCAGGATCTGGTAAGTGAAGCTCTGATTGGTCAGATGAAAGGTCGTTCTGATATGACCCGTAATGAGATGTCCTCAGATCTCTTTCTAGTGGTAGTGTGAACTAAGTGAGTGAGTTGGGTTTAACACCATTTTTAACAGTATTTCCAGTTATATCATGGCATATCAGATTAATGTTGGAGGAAAGCCCGAATTGATGCAGGTCTCAGACGTTTACCACCTCGTTGAAACCCACGAGCATGGGTATGGTGCTGACGAACCTAGAAACATAATCAGGGTGAACCGAGATTCAAACCCCACCATCATAGGTTTCTGGCATGCCTAAGGGACGCAACTCTGCACAGCGAATGGCGGCGCATTAGACGACTGGGCCACCCGTGCCCCCATGGGAACTAAGAATTTGTTAAACTTGATGATCATTCAGTGAACATTGATAAACACGAAGGTTATTGACTTGGAGTGAGAGATAGAAACAACTGCACCTAACTTTGGTGATTTGTGTATTTCAAATATTCTGCCAATAAAGCCAAGTTAAAAAAAATAAGGTAACTGACATTTCATATTTTCCACAAGCAAGTTGGACCAATTTGTTTAAAGACTAATGGTCCAAAATATTGTTTATTGACTATTGTCAAATAAACTAGTGTTTTGCTGAACCCTGATAGCAAGCACAAGAAATGGTGATATTTCTGCAAATACTTCATTTCATTTAGAAAATGCCTGTGAGCTGTTGATTATGTTTCACTTATTTGATCAGCATTTATTTCTAAGGAAACTGTGAACATCTTGTGAAATACCTTCAATGTGCTATGTCATGATAAAGTATCATACTCAATGTCAATTACTATCAATCTACCGTAACATAAGAAGAAAAACACATTTTGCATGTGAGATTGTAAATCCTTGATATTTGGATGATTAAAATCAAGAGGAACTATTGAATTTCCAGAAACATGAATTCATGCAGATTATTTAAGAGATTTAACAATCGTTCCAAAAGACAGAAAAGCTGATCCTGGTAACAAACAAGCATTGAATTCTCATATCCCCCGCCAAAGTCGATGCTATGGAAACACAAAAAATAGTTTACCTCTAGACCTATCTTTGTGCCAAGTTTGGTGAAGAAATATTGTACGGTCTGCTCTGGAAACAAAACACTACTGCCATTTTCAGTTTAATTCAAAGTCCTTGCTATGGAAACTCGAAAAATATATTTAAACAAAATGCCAAACTAACAAAAGATAACAATGCTTTACTAGACCTATCTATATGCCAAGTTCGGATAAGATATCTCTCATGGTTTTTGTGTATTGCTCCTGAAACAAAACGTGACGAACGGATGGACAGCAGCCATACCATTATCCCCCTTCCACCTCCTGCCAGGGGGTAATAAATATGTTGCACCAACAACTTCCTGGTCCATGTTTAAAACCATATGTTTATGGCTTTGAGCAGGAGACCCTGCTGGTAAACAGGGACACATGAAACACTTGCCTTGGTCGAGTCCACTGAGGAATGAAGGGTAGGGAAACAAGTAACCTGCACACAAGTAACACTTGCCTTGGTCGAGTCCACTGAGGAATGAAGGGTAGGGAAACAAGTAACCTGCACACAAGTAACACTTGCCTTGGTCGAGTCCACTGAGGAATGAAGGGTAGGGAAGCAAGTAACCTGCACACAAGTAACACTTGCCTTGGTCGAGTCCACTGAGGAATGAAGGGTAGGGAAACAAGTAACCTGCACACAAGTAACACTTGCCTTGGTCGAGTCCACTGAGGAATGAAGGGTAGGGAAACAAGTAACCTGCACACAAGTAACACTTGCCTTGGTCGAGTCCACTGAGGAATGAAGGGTAAGGAAACAAGTAACCTGCACCCAAGTAACACTTGCCTTGGTCGAGTCCACTGAGGAATGAAGGGTAGGGAAACAAGTAACCTGCACACAAGTAAGCACACTTTAAGCTTTGATGCCCGTCTTAAATCAGTGAAATATAGTCAAACACTGTTGTATTTACAGTTGTCGCAAAGTAAAAACTTGGTCCCTATGTATTTCTTCTTTATTCATCATTTTTGGTTACGTCAAACATTGGATAACCCGAAGTAATTATGTAGGCCCTATCAAATTTGACAGAATGGTGTTTGACAGATCTTCAAACTAAACATTTCACAAACGTGTAATATTTTTATACAGTGAACTACGGTTATACGAACTCAAAGGGACCACTATATTTAGTTCGTTATAACTGTAGTTAGTTATAAGCATAATATATACAGTATATAAGTAAACGACCGGGACCAATAAGTAAGTTCCTTACATCCATCAGTTTGTTATAACCATGTTCGTCATAAACGTAGTATACTGTATTTTTGAAACATCCTGTTTTTCAAGCAGATGAATCTGAAGTATTCTTCATTACTGAAATTATTTTGCAGATAACCGTTTCAAAAACAATTCTTGTCCACTTGTTTACTTCCATGAACTTTTCACCTTCTCAGTCAGTCAGTCAGGTAACAAACCTTTCCGAAATAGTAATTTGATTTTTCATGCGTGGGATGAAAATGAATGGAAGAGCACCAGAGATGGTGATTGTCCGAGCTGTAACATTGATGGCAGCAATAATTACTAGTGACATTTTAACTTGTTATCAATGTGTTGCCACCACTGATACCATCAGCGTCTTCAATATAGGTATATTTCGTATTGCAGTTCTGCATACCTTGTAAGTATGTTTAACTGCAGAAACTATAAACACGATCTTAATTGGAATGGTAAAAAACAATGACATTTTGTAAACAAAATATCACTAACAAGTGAGATTGTTTTACCCATATCAATGCAACTGAGTCTCTATCATACCAAACCAATAAAAAAATGTTGCGTTTATGTGCATCAGGACAGAAGTTCATCTTCGTCACTGTCGAGTGGGTAGGTCTCAGAATTAAGGAGCTGGCGATAGCTGGTGACATGCTTGTTGGGCCTGCGGCAGTATCGGTTGAAGACAAATAGTGCAACAGCAACAACCGGGATGAGGCTGAGGATGCCTGCAGCTACCAGTGGTATTACATCTGGAGAAGAGTTAGTGAATGGTGTTTTATTGTAGTCACCAATATCGCTTTACAAATACCCAATATATACACTTGGCCAGGGAGACCACCGGTTGATTCAACATTTTACTGTGATTCCAAGAACCCTTGATTCTGGTGGTGAAACTTTTGTATCTTATTCGAAAATTACCTCAAAATCAACATGCCTTTTCACACAAAAAAACGTGCATATGAAAACATTGACAGCAAAAACATGAACACCTATAATGATGGCTGCCGATAAACCAATTAAAATTGTCTACAGAACACACAATTAAATAAAACAAATACTAACCACAGAGTCAAGGCCACATAACCACTACAAAATAAGCAAAATCTAAATATTTTTTACATTTGTATACTTCCCCTGCATTACTCCGTATTGCATTTACTGCTGTCTCTTAACAGAGAGACCAACTGAGTGAGATCCAGCTGCTGAAGAAAAGTTGTTCCAACCAGTAGAGACAGCACCCTTGCACAGTTGGCACATGACCCGGAAGTCATGACGTCACATCAAAACACATAACTGCTGAAACTACGTGGGGAGTCAGCGTAGCGAAGGGATGGCACTTAGACATTTGTAATGCAGGACAAGTGTACAAATGTAAAAAATATTTAGATTTTACAATTTTTTAAAACTTATCCTGCATTATTCTGTATTAAGCACGGACGGTGGGCATACCTTCAGATGCGATCGATAATGAACCCTCGTCAAGGTCTGATGAATCTGCACCGCATACAAGTGATGACCGGAACATCTACAACCATTCCTGTCTTCAGGAAACAAGAGTCGATGCAAAAAGGAAAAACCCAAATAGGTGACAGAAATGGAATGAGATGGGTAGCCATAACTAGAACTTTTCTTAGAGCAAATGGGGAACGCTCTAATGATTAGAGCTAATCTGGGGTGATAAACACCAGAGAGGTCAACGGGCCCCGCTCAAGAATCAGCGGTGTCGGCGCCAAGATCTACGACCATTCCAAAGAGCAAATGCGGAATGCAGGAGAGCCTTCTAGTCTGGGGTGATAAACACCAGAGAGGTCGACGGGCCCCGCTCGGGGTATTGGAGAATCAGGAGCGTTGGCATCGACGTTAACATCTACTACCATTCCTGTCATCAGGAAACGAGAGTCGATGCAAATAGTAAAACTCGAATAGGTGACAGAAGTAGAATGAGGCGGGTAGCCAAAAACTAGAACTGATCTAAGAGCGAATGCAGAACACAGTAGAGCTGTCTTTTCTGGGGTGATTAAGACCAGAGAGGTTGATGGGCCCTGCTCAGGGTATCGGATAATCAGTGATGTCGGTGATTGGTGACCTGTTGGGCTCCATCCAGGGGACCAAAGCTGTGAACGCCCGTGGCTGGCGAAGACGGTGTCAGATCGCCAATAACAGCCTTCTACGATCAACTGGATGGAGCAACTACTGTGAAGAGCCATGGTAAATGCGACCGCCCTGATCTCGTGTGGGTTGTTAGCCTTGGGGGAGGCAGGGTAGGTCCAATCCGGCAGCTTCATAAGCTTGGAGGATGACTGCCCAGAGCCACTGGGAAATAGTATTCCGGCTGACCTCTGACGAAGAGGAGACTGGCAGAAAAAGGCGTTTCCTAGACTTGCGGCAGGCTTTAGATCGTCGTAGGAAAGCCCTCAGTGTCCTATCTGGGCATATTAAAAGCTCCTACTCATCGTCGGCCCCACAATGGACGAGAGGGTGGGATGGTGAATGATCTATCAGGCTGTCCTGGGAGTTGATTCTTTGTGACAAAGTCTCAGCACAGCCCAAGATGAACGGCGGCATGAGTACCGCATTCGAATCGAACATGGGAGGGGGCGTGGAACTCACCGACTCGAGCCGCAGTAGCCAAAGCCAGTAGAAACACTGTAGAAGGAAGATGAGTGGAGTGGTTCAAAGGGAGCCATCCAAAGAACCTTTAAGACCACATTCAGATCACACGCAATCGGTCTGAACTTGCACTGGACAAAATATCATCCATTCCAAACAATCCAAAACTTGGAAATACCACCATTCCAAATGGAAATATGACCATTCCAAAATTTGTCAAGGTCATATTTCCAAGCTTGGATTTGTTTGGATATGTTTGGATACAACATGTCATAATCATATCTGTTAAACGTTGTACAACTTTTGATTTTATGTGAGATTAGTAATGACATGAAAGTAAATAATTAAGAGTATTTTGGCACTATTTACCACGAAAAGACCAAATCATGAGCAAATTTAACTAAAAGAATTTCTGTCATTTAAAGTGGCTACTCTTTATATTTAATTTCTTATCTTCCTTGTCCATAATCATATGATATTGACTATGAACTTTGAACAATTAAACAAATATTTTGTTTTCCCATACCGACTTACGGTTGTCGTAGAACAAAGACCCTTTCGAGAATAGAGGGCCTCATTATTATAATTTGAACTAATATACATATGTACATAATAGTACTAGGTATAAATGAATTTTGATAAGTGTTCGTACAAGAATATGAACTTCGAATTATCTCGGAATTATGCGCAACACATAGGGCTGGAAATTCTATAATTGGTCTGGAACTATCTGACGGTAATTCAAAACAGGGAACAAGATTTCGTCAAATGAATCATTGAGCCAGGAATGCAACGATTTAAATGCTGACAAAATGAATAAACATATCTGGAACAGAGTAGACTGTTCATGCGGACAATTATATGCTACGTCTATTGCCAGTGAAGTTTATCACCCCATGTTATAGCATTTGTTTCATATAAAAGATAGAAGCCAAATAAATGGGACAATTAGTTGTTATGAATTAGCTTTACCTCTGTGACATATTACGCAACTAAAGGTGAATATGTTTATCAAATAATCAATTACAGTAATTAACCTAGTGTCCTTATTTATACACAATTTACTTACGTATTGGGGTACAATATATAATACAGATATACACGGAATGATTTCTTATTTTGTCAATTTAATCATAACCCAAATCATACAAATCGAACATGTGAAAATAAAAGTAGTGACTAACTTTATGATCAAGGGTATAAATACTCAATTGTATCTATTAATCCTAATAGTATAACAATAAATCCTGTGTATTTACTGAGCATATTTAGGTACATCCGGATCTACGACCGCAGTCATATAATCAATCAAGGAAAGTATATTAGATTATATTAAAAATGTGCTAAAAATCACTAAAACAAAATTTTCCGTTATCCACGTAAGCCTAAACCTGGGAGAAATAAAGTTCTGTTCTGTTCTGAAGACGCCGTCATGATTAGTTGGCGCCAGTCTAGACTGTCCAATCAACGTGAATATACAAACCGTGATGTTACTTGACCAGTTGATGACACCTTTAGCGCACTTGATTGTTTTATTTGCAGTTATATCACATTTTGTTGTTTTTGTTAACGATCGTTTCCAGTTTCAACGTGGTACCCTTATAAGTGACTAACTTTTTTATCATGATGAAATGAAACATATTAAAATAATCAGAGGGACTGATGATCGCATTTTTCGCATAAATGTCATGCTCGCATAAAATTCATGATTAACTGAAGATAGATTTGAACATTTCTGAGCAACGATCATGTTTGGGCAAGGAAAGTAATCTTGTCTCCGCTTGCAATTAGATTCAATCGGGCGAGCAGTTCTGAGATCGCAGCTTGACTGTTCGGTACGGCCGAAAGGCGGCATCCATGTTGTTCATGCTCCGCTGATCACGGTGCCTCATTTGTCTGTATTCTGCTTATGAGCTGGGATGCGCATGAAACACAGGTGTCAAAACGAAATATATTTACCAATTTTATGCACGGTCAATTAGCCAGTTCAAGAGACAATACCCTGGTTCTACCACCTTTAGTGAGTGAGTGAGTGAGTTGGGTTTAACGCCGCTTTTAACATTATTCCAGTTATATCACGGCGTGTCAGCTTAATGTGGGAGGAAAGCCCGAAGTGATGCAGGTCTAAGACGTTTACCACTTCGGTGAAACCCACGAGCATGGGTATGGTGCTGACAAACCTAGAAACATAAATGGGGCGAACCGGGATTCGAACCCACAATCATAGGTTTCTGGCATGCCCAAGGGACGCAACTCTGCACAGCGAATCGCGGCGCCTTAGACGACTGGGCCACCCGTGCCCCCCTCTACCACCTTTAGATGTAATTACGTCGCATGCCCCTGGTTCACGGTTTGTCTGATCTCCCGTCATAAAACCACGATGGTTATTTACCTGGAGCCTCAGACAGCGCTGACTTCCTGTGTACATGTACGTACATGGCAATAAATGGTTTGACAGTTGTTTGACGGAATCAGTCAATACTTATTGACACAGTGATGTAATTAAAATTTGTCACTATTCACAACTCCTATTTTGATTTTTCTATTGTTCAGCTGTATTTTCGATCAGTTTTATATGTATAAAAAATCTTCTCTAGTATTTATAAACCAAACCTTAAAACATTATATAAGAACACTTGTGTTTTTAAAACGTAAGTTTTCTATTAAAACAACCATTCAAGTAAGATTTCAGCCGTAACATTACTTTAGTTACTCCACAGATTACACATCTTATATGCTGCAAAAGCAGCAAATGTAAAGCTACTACATCACAGCTGCCTCGGTAATTAAGGGCTGGAATGTTTTTGTGAAGGCAGTTAGAGCAGACGAATTTCCCCCCTCGCTGTATAATGACGGTCGCTAACCATATATATGTATTTTTCGTGTTTTTGGCTTGATTTGATTGTCCTTTGGTGAAAACAAATGTTCAATTGTGAAAGCAAACCCTGAATGTTAAAAGACAGGAGACTTTGTTTTTGTCTGAAATATTAACGTTGAAGTCGTTTATATATTCGGAATAATATGGACAATGGTAAAATTCATTATCACAGTTTAAGTGCTATTCACAAATGTATGTAAATCTGCTTTGTGATGAATGAAGCATGGCAATAAATGCATGCATCTGATTCTTCATTTGATCTGTATTCTTTGATGAGAATGAGTTTCGTTAATGATGATCACTCTCACAAATTATTTGATAAGAGGATAGAACTTTAACTGGAGAATAGTTATGAAAAATATATATATAAGTATAGGCGGTCTGTGCACATGTGGTGAAACTGATAACTCATTGATTTGATAATCGGGACTTGGAAATCATAGTCTGTCATTAAAATGATTTTAAAATATATGGTTTTGACTGTAGTACGTCCTGACATGATAATATTATGTTGTAAACAACTTATCTTATCTTATGTTAAGTAAAACAATTATTGATAACTTCCTGAATTCCAATTGTTCAATGAACTATTATTCAAAGCTCTGGCGTGAGACAACAATTTAGATGTTACCAAAGATTGTCCATTTTATGATCTTAGGCACATGTTGGCGCACTTACATGTGAGCCGTCTAGACGACTGTCTGTTTTATAATTAAATGGCAGCTGCCATCCAGCCGAATACTTAATCTTGAGACCTATTATTGTTTTGTCGAGTCAAGTGCGGGTCTCTCTCTCACCTTAGGGAGAATGCGACTGTAAAAGCCCCTCGCTAGACAGACAAGTAGTGAATGTTTGAGATAAGTTTATTATTTATTATATATAGTTTAAACTCAATAGATAATTCATAGTCTTTTTATTGTTCAAATTACTAATAAAACATATTTTAACTTGTTCCTTCTAAACATACTCCGAAACAATTCCAAATAATTCCAAACCATTCCAAGTCCATTCCTGTGTTGGAAATATATTTGGAAATGTTGCCAATCCAATTTTGGATTTTCCGTAAAGATCGATCCTTCCAAGCTTTGGAAAGGTTGGAATGAGCGATCTTTCCAAAGCAATCCAACGTTCATTCCAAATTGGAATGGATGTTCCTTGGTCTAGTGTTGGCTTTCTGGTCTTTCGAGACAGAAGAGTGCAGCAAGGCCTGTAGTCGTCCAGGATGGTAAGAACGGGGTTGATGGCGACCAGGTATATGAAGATGGTAGAGCCTTTAAACCGAAATGTGCTGCGCAAGTACAGAAGGAAACCAGCCAGGAACTGAGTTGATGCTGTCTTTGGATCCTGGTGTTTGTCTGAGCAGAATGCCTGGAAAGAGCACCATTTATCATCATACAGTCTCCATGTAGATGGACTGTGTGCTGATGCAATAGCCTTGGCCGCTCTAACCGAATAGCCCTTGGCTCCTAGGGCTTTCTGCAGATTGTCAGGCGTGCAGACGAAACTGTTTGGGGTGTGGCAACCGACTGTGTGGGTGGAGCAGAAGGTTGGGCCATGCCGGAAGTTCCAGGGGCTTGTCTCTGGTGATGTTTCAGAGGTCGGCAAACCAACTTCTGACCAACCACCAAGGTGCAACCAAAATCAGTGTCAGGTGCCGACTGGCCTGGATCTTTGAAGAACCCTGGAAAAGAGAACTGGAGGCGGAAAAGCGTAAGCATGTAATCCCTCCCAGGGAACACTGAAGGCGTTGACTGCCACAGCGGCCGGATCCTGCACCGGTGAAATGTTAGTCGACAGTTGGCACTTCTGAGATGTGGCGAACAGATCGATGTTTGGGGTGTCCATCGTTTGACAAAGTCTGGCGAAGACCTCTGGGTGGAGCTTCCATTTGGTGGGAGCCAACTTGTCCAGGCCTGGACAGAGCCTGTGCCAGAACATGCTCTCAACCTGGTGAAAGCTAAACGAGTAATTACAGGTCCAGGCTGACCACTAAGTCGAAGAAGCGGAAGGTCTGGTTTAGCAGGGATGAAGAGAAGAGAGTACCCTGGTTCCTCAAACACCACACCATGGTGATGTTGTCCATGAATATGATCAAAAAGGCGTGACCTAGAATGCTCTGCCAGCAAGTGATGGCCAGGATAAGCGCTTTTATCTTGAGGCTGTTGCTGTGCCAAAGGAGTAGATCTCCAGATCACAGTCGGTCACAACTAGGGCTGGTGCGAGCAATCCCAGAAACACTAGCCACTGACAAAGTATAAGCCGCAGTGGAAGTGCGGAAAGTCATGGTAAATGAGGTCGTCTACAAGACTGCAAAGTTGAAAAGTCAGCAACAGGGGTCTCCGATCGTGTCCTGTGGGGAAGATACATAATCGAAATAAACCCGCTCCACAATCGACTGCCGAGGCATTAACTTAACCCATTAGTCGAAAGTCAAAGCAATGTCCATAAGATAAGGTAGAAATCTGTAAAACTGTGGTTCGGGTAGATCGCACCATACTGCACGAAAGTGGTGTACCCGAGTTCTGCGAAAAAACGCAGGAGCGCCGTGGAAGAGCTGCTTTGTGGAACACTGTCGCTAAGGCAGAGTAGAGGAGTGTTGGTGTTGGCGATGTCGACGAAGAAGACAGTGGATGTCATCGTTGGAAGGCGAGGCCGGTGCAGAACAACAAATGAACACCGTGACATGAGAGACCAGTCAACAATGAAAGCGAGAGCCTATGACAAAGGGGTCAAACAGGCTAAATGAACCTGAACAGTGAAGATCTGCCAGTTCTGATACAGATACTGTCCACCAGAAGCCCTGTTTCGATGGAGGTCATCTCTCCTAAAGCATGGCTCATAGTAGGCTTTGAAGAAACATGTGAACTCCTTCAACTTCATCCAAGGAGTGAACCTGCTGGCCATCTCTCCTGAAGCATGGTGCTTTAAACCACGGGGTTAAGGAGAACGTCACAAAACAGAACCTCAACCAGTTGGCAAGCTGGAGATACTCAGGAAGCGCCGGTGGCGTAAGTTCTCTGGAGCGCCGGGAGCGCCAGTGGGGTTGCTTCTCGGGAGCACCAGCCGTGCTGATGGCTTTGGGAGCACTGACGGCATTATCAACGTAGATGGCAGAGGAGGCGCTCAGGAGGCGCCGGAGATACTCAAGAGATGGCGTAGCTTCTCTGGAGTGCTAGGAGAACTGGTGGGGCTGCTTGATGGGAGCGGTGGCATCAGGAGCGGCGATGGCGCTGCTGTTGTCGACATAGATGGAGGAGGAGATGGAAAGCCGGTCTCGTTACGGGTGTCACTGGAGGAGGGGACGATGTTGTCGCTAAAGGTCATGGCCACGCAGGGGTAGAAGACTCGACTTGTAAACCATATCAGGGTGTTGACGAGCATGTTGAGTGAGGCATGTCCTTGATACTCATATTGAGTTGAAGGAGCACAGCGACGAAGGACTGCAATATCGGCACTGCGTTGTGAAAGTACAGGGCGTCGTACAATCAAGGCAGAAGTCCAGAATTTAAGCAAAAACATAACCATGAGGTAAAACCACAAAGTACGGGAAGCATAATGTAACTCAAAAACTTTGTATTTTATTTGAGTTCATGAGAGCAAACAATACACTAAAGGTAGTGAAAAGGCAAAGCTTTAAGCACGCCAAAACAAAATATATATATTAAGTGCATTAACCAAGCCAAAAAAAGAATTCAAAACAAGGACACGAAAATATGTGGCCACGTGGTGAATAGCAAAAATGGCAGGAAAAAAACAAAATGGCAGGAACAACAGTATGCCCATAAATTGCTGTGACTAAAGCCACAAACAAGAGATAAAAATTACAAATTACGAATGGAAGACCCTAAAGGTAACAGCCCATACGTAACAATATAGCGGCATACAATGAATGCAGAAACACGCAAAGTAACAATAAGCTTTAATTTCCACAAGGGATACAAAGTACGTCCGTCTGTGGAGGTGACAAAGCAGTGATGTGTTTTGATGTGACGTCATGACTTCCGGGTCACTTGCTGGATGCAGGATAAGTTAAAAAATTGAGCAAATCTGGGATTTCCACAATCAGCGAATTGTGGCACAAGTAAGGGACACAACTCTGCAAGGCAAACTTCAGTGCCTCAGAAGACAATTAGTTTCTGCCACAATCCATCAGTGTAGTCTCACAAGTCACTTACTGTTTTCAGGCTTGGTGGATCCAAACACAGCATTGCTGGAGCCACACACTGAACCTCGAGACTCGGCCTCTAATGTCACATTACTCAACAGTCGGTTGAGAGTGGCAACAGGACATAGTGTGGCACAACCTACAGAAACAAACAAAATATGAGCAAAGCTAAATGGTGTAAGCTATTTGTACATTCAGATGAACTGAGTGTGCATACAAAATACACATATTTTCCAGATTCACCAAATGATGAACACATGAACACACAAGCCATCCTTCACTGATACATGGCAGACATTGGACATGGCAGGAGTTCACATTTAGTTCAGGAGAGTGAAAACAGAAACATACTGAAAGAAATCTCTGACATGACTATCTGTGGATGAAGTCATTGTGTAACAAAAGGCTAGTTTTACCCCTAATAATGAGATATTGCCTTGTATCGATCACTTGATACAGCAGCTACTGTCTATTTTTGACACTGCTGAATCACTAGAACATGGAAGCACTCTTTTCACACTGAAGGATTCCACCTAAGTAATGTATTATAAAAAGAGTTGTCAAGCAAAGATAGTGAAAGATGTATCTGAAGATGTGTCTATCATCACCTGGTATTTTTAATGTGTAGGGGAGTCTTGTTGTGTCATTTCTGTACAGGACTTTAACAAAGTACATCTGCTTCATCTGATATAACTCCAGAATCACGCAGGCGGTATAGGGCGGCTGGATGGTGTTGAACACTCTAAGCGCTGACAGAAAAGCTATGACGTTGGAGTCATGCTGAAAAGAGAAGCAGGCATTCCTTAGCTCCTGCTTTCTCGAGTGTTCTTAGAATCATTCTGGCTGTAGGTGTAAAAGAAGGAATAAATGTAAGGAATAGTTCTGTTTCTGATAAACATGAAAAAGATTGTAACAAATGAGTTACAAAATAAGATATGCTTTCCACTGTAATTGCTTTAATTCTAAAATATCTACATTTTATCAATTGTTTTTGGGGTGGTGGGGGGCGAGGAGATGAGGTGTATGTATAAATCCATTGAAAAATAGCATCACCAAAGGTCTATTCGTTATCACACTTTATCAAACAGAAACTTCTGACCATCTATAGACTTACGACTGGCAAAACAGCATTTCTTGAAGCTGTTGTACTCATGACACAGATCTTAAGTAAGATATGTGACAGACGGAAAATAAGCTAGGGGTTTTTCTAAGATGTCATTGATTATGCAGGGAATTCCCCAGCTTGAAATTCAAGCATGCTTTTGTATATATTTAAATATTTATATACATCATAGTAAAGATTCAGTCTGTATCAAGACATATCATTTTTAGATGTTTATGGTTGTCCGTACATCAGACATTGACAGAATGAAAACAAAATGTTAATGATAAAAAAAAAATGATTAGCGTGCCCATTGGGATTTAAGTGTGTCAACTAAAAATAAGGTGTGCTGATCCAGTTGACAGAGCAACGCTATGTTAAAAAACATTTAATAGAATAATTACTGGCTGAACAGATACCTGGATTTAATTGCAAGTAATAATAATGTTCATTACAGCTGCAAACACAAAATCATCATCATCTCCCTGGTTAACTGGTCGAGGAGTTACTTACTGCTCAGTACAAATAAATCACCATCCCACTGGTTAACTGACTGACTAGGTACTTACTGCTCAGTACAAATAAATCACCATCCCACTGGTTAACTGACTGACTAGGTACTTACTGCTCAGTACAAATAAATCACTATCCCACTGGTTAACTGACTGACTAGGTACTTACTGCTCAGTACAAATAAATCACCATCCCACTGGTTAACTGACTGACTAGGTACTTACTGCTCAGTACAAATAAATCACCATCCCACTGGTTGACTGACTGACTAGGTACTTACTGCTCAGTACAAATAAATCACCATCCCACTGGTTAACTGACTGACTAGGTACTTACTGCTCAGTACAAATAAATCACCATCCCACTGGTTAACTGACTGACTAGGTACTTACTGCTCAGTACAAATAAATCACCTTCCCACTGGTTAACTGACTGGCTAGGTACTTACTGCTCAGTACAAATAAATCACCATCCCACTGGTTAACTGACTAATGAGTAACTTACTGCTCAGTACAAATAAATCACCTTCCCTCTGGTTAACTGACTGACTAGGTACTTACTGCTCAGTACAAATAAATCACCATCCCACTGGTTAACTGACTAATGAGTTACTTACTGCTCAGTACAAATAAATCACCATCCCACTGGTTAACTGACTGACTAGGTACTTACTGCTCAGTACAAATAAATCACCATCCCACTGGTTAACTGACTAATGAGTTACTTACTGCTCAGTACAAATAAATCACCATCCCACTGGTTAACTGACTGACTAGGTACTTACTGCTCAGTACAAATAAATCACCATCCCACTGGTTAACTGACTGTCTAGGTACTTACTGCTCAGTACATATAAATCACCATCCGACTGGTTAACTGACTGACTAGGTACTTACTGCTCAGTACAAATAAATCACCATCCCACTGGTTAACTGACTGACTAGGTACTTACTGCTCAGTACAAATAAATCACCTTCCCTCTGGTTAACTGACTGACTAGGTACTTACTGCTCAGTACAAATAAATCACCATCCCACTGGTTAACTGACTAATGAGTTACTTACTGCTCAGTACAAATAAATCACCATCCCACTGGTTAACTGACTGACTAGGTACTTACTGCTCAGTACAAATAAATCACCATTCCACTGGTTAACTGACTGACTAGGTACTGACTGCTCAGTACAAATAAATTACCATCCCACTGGTTAACTGACTGACTAGGTACTTACTGCTCAGTACAAATAAATCACCATCCCACTGGTTAACTGACTGACTAGGTACTTACTGCTCAGTACATATAAATCACCATCCCACTGGTTAACTGACTGACTAGGTACTTACTGCTCAGTACAAATAAATCACCATCCCACTGGTTAACTGACTGACTAGGTACTTACTGCTCAGTACAAATAAATCACCATCCCACTTGTTAACTGACTGACTAGGTACTTACTCGGGAGTAAAAATAAATCACCATCCAACTGGTTAACTGACTTACTAGGTACATACTGCTCAGTACAAATAAATCACCATCCCACTGGCTAATTGACAGACGATTTACTTACTGCTGAGTACACAAACAGTTTCATCTGACTGCGAGGCTTTTTCATCTTCTGCATAATGTTTGACAGCATCTTCTCAACTAGAGGACCTAGAAACCAACATATTAATTAAAACTGCCAACTAAGCTGAGGAAACCATAGAAAAGCTTGGGCTACCACTGAAGTCTGGATACTGAAGGGCTCGAGTTCATCCCTGAGCAAGCATGCCAACTCATAGTTTGTCATGTATACCGTAAGCCAAGGACATGACCGTAATCAAAGGAGGGGTTATCTTTCTTCAGGCTTTAATCTACAAGCTAAGGTCTACATCTGTTCATGCAGTCTCTGTACCATTCTACAGACTACATAAAAGTAAGTTCTTTGTGCTGGCAGTCAGTGTATGACTGTGTATGGCAGTCAGTGTATGTACCTCTCATGATTCATGTGTCAGATGTGTTACAGCGGGACAAACAATGACTGGAGGTGTTTAACAGCTGCTACACATCAGTGAATGAGTTCATGTGTCAGATGTGTTACAGGAGGACAAACAATGACTGGAGGTGTTTAACAGCTGCTACACATCAGTGAATGAGTTCATGTGTCAGATGTGTTACAGCTGTTAAACACCTCCAGTCATTGTTTGTGCAATGACTGGAGGTGTTTAACAGCTGCTACACATCAGTGAATGAGTTCATGTGTCAGATGTGTTACAGCGGGACAAACAAGGACTGGAGGTGTTTAACAGCTGCTACACATCAGTGAATGAGTTCATGTGTCAGATGTGTTACAGGAGGACAAACAATGACTGGAAGTGTTTAACAGCTGCTACACATCAGTGAATGAGTTCATGTGTCAGATGTGTTACAGGAGGACAAACAATGACTGGAGGTGTTTAACAGCTGCTACACATCAGTGAATGAGTTCATGTGTCAGATGTGTTACAGCTGTTAAACACCTCCAGTCATTGTTTGTGCAATGACTGGAGGTGTTTAACAGCTGCTACACATCAGTGAATGAGTTCATGTGTCAGATGTGTTACAGCGGGACAAACAAGGACTGGAGGTGTTTAACAGCTGCTACACATCAGTGAATGAGTTCATGTGTCAGATGTGTTACAGGAGGACAAACAATGACTGGAAGTGTTTAACAGCTACTACACATCAGTGAATGAGTTCATGTGTCAGATGTGTTACAGCGGGACAAACAATGACTGGAGGTGTTTAACAGCTGCTACACATCAGTGAATGAGTTCATGTGTCAGATGTGTTACAGGAGGACAAACAATGACTGGAGGTGTTTAACAGCTGCTACACATCAGTGAATGAGTTCATGTGTCAGATGTGTTACAGCGGGACAAACAATGACTGGAGGTGTTTAACAGCTGCTACACATCAGTGAATGAGTTCATGTGTCAGATGTGTTACAGGAGGACAAACAATGACTGGAGGTGTTTAACAGCTGCTACACATCAGTGAATGAGTTCATGTATCAGATGTGTTTCAGCAGGACAAACAATGACTGGAGGTGTTTAACAGCTGCTACACATCAGTGAATGAGTTCATGTGTCAGATGTGTTACAGCGGGACAAACAATGACTGGAGGTGTTTAACAGCTGCTACACATCAGTGAATGAGTTCATGTATCAGATGTGTTTCAGCAGGACAAACAATGACTGGAGGTGTTTAACAGCTGCTACACATCAGTGAATGAGTTCGATGTGTCAGATGTGTTACAGCGGGACAAACAATGACTTGAGGTGTTTAACAGCTGTTTTGACTCCTGATTAAACTTGTTAACGTCACTCACCTGCACCTAATTTCTGCACCTCTGATGTTGGGTAAGCGAAGGATGAGGACTCATTGAAAACATTCATAAGTGGTGAAACCTCCGGCAACATCCATTGAGGCTGTGTGAGGTTATGGTGAATCTAAAAAAACAACACTATTGCAACAGCTGATGGAGTAAGATGTGTTCACATCAGAAACTACACACAGCCTTACCATCACAATCTAACTGAAAGCCTTACCATCTCAATCTAACTGAAAGCCTTACACTACACAATCTAACTCAAAGCCTTACACTACACAATCTAACTGAAAGCCTTACTCTACACAATCTAACTGAAAGCCTTACACTACACAATCTAACTGAAAGCCTTACACTACACAATCTAACTGAAAGCCACACACTGCACAATCTAACTGAAAGCCTTAATCTACACAATCTAACTGAAAGCCTTACAGTGCCCAATCTAACTGAAAGCCTTACACTACACAATCTTACTGAAAGCCTTACACTACACAATCTAACTGAAAGCCTTACTCTACACAATCTAACTGAAAGCCTCACACTACACAATCTAACTGAAAGCCTTACACTGCACAATCTAACTGAAAGCCTTACACTACACAATCTAACTCAAAGCCTTACACTACACAATCTAACTGAAAGCCTTAAGCCTTACACTACACAATCTTACTGAAAGCCTTACACTACACAATCTAACTGAAAGCCTTACACTACACAATCTAACTGAAAGCCTCACACTACACAATCTCACTGAAAGCCTTACACTGCACAATCTAACTGAAAGCCTTACACTACACAATCTAACTGAAAGCCTTACACTACACAATCTAACTGAAAGCCTTAATCTACACAATCTAACTGAAAGCCTCACACTACACAATCTAACTGAAAGCCTTACACTACACAATCTAACTGAAAGCCTTACTCTACCCAATCTAACTGAAAGCCTTACACTACACAATCTAACTGAAAGCCTTAATCTACACAATCTAACTGAAAGCCTTACACTACACAATCTAACTGAAAGCCTTACACTACACAATCTAACTGAAAGCCTTACACTACACAATCTAACTGAAAGCCTTACTCTACACAATCTAACTGAAAGCCTTACACTACACAATCTAACTGAAAGCCTTACACTACACAATCTAACTGAAAGCCTTAATCTACACAATCTAACTGAAAGCCTTACACTACACAATCTAACTGAAAGCCTTAGACTACACAATCTAACTGAAAGCCTTACACTGCACAATCTAACTGAAAGCCTTACTCTACACAATCTAACTGAAAGCCTTACTCTACACAATCTAACTGAAAGCCTTACACTACACAATCTAACTGAAAGCCTTACACTACACAATCTAACTGAAAGCCTTACACTACACAATCTAACTGAAAGCCACACACTACACAATCTAACTGAAAGCCTTACCATCACAATCTAACTGAAAGCCTTACTCTACCCAATCTAACTGAAAGCCTTACACTGCACAATCTAACTGAAAGCCTTACACTACACAATCTAACTCAAAGCCTTAATCTACACAATCTAACTGAAAGCCTCACACTGCACAATCTAACTGAAAGCCTTACACTACACAATCTAACTGAAAGCCTTACACTGCACAATCTAACTGAAAGCCTCACACTGCACAATCTAACTGAAAGCCTTACACTGCACAATCTAACTGAAAGCCTTACACTACACAATCTAACTAAAAGCCTTAATCTACACAATCTAACTGAAAGCCTCACACTGCACAATCTAACTGAAAGCCTTACACTACACAATCTATCTGAAAGCCTCACACTTCACAATCTAACTGAAAGCCTCACACTTCACAATCTAACTGAAAGCCTCACACTGCACAATCTAAGTGAAAGCCACACACTGCACAATCTAACTGAAAGCCTCACACTGCACAATCTAACTGAAAGCCTCACACTGCACAATCTAACTGAAAGCCTCACACTACACAATCTAACTGAAAGCCTCACACTGCACAATCTAACTGAAAGCCTTACACTACACAATCTAACTCAAAGCCTTACTCTACACAATCTAACTGAAAGCCTTACACTACACAATCTAACTGAAAGCCTTACTCTACACAATCTAACTGAAAGCCTTACACTACACAATCTAACTGAAAGCCTAACACTACACAATCTAACTGAAAGCCACACACTACACAATCTAACTGAAAGCCTTACCATCACAATCTAACTGAAAGCCTTACTCTACACAATCTAACTGAAAGCCTTACAATGCACAATCTAACTGAAAGCCTTACTCTACACAATCTAACTGAAAGCCTTACACTACACAATCTAACTGAAAGCCTTACACTACACAATCTAACTGAAATCCTTACCATCACAATCTAACTGAAAGCCTTACACTACACAATCTAACTGAAAGCCTTACCATCACAATCTAACTGAAAGCCTTACACTACACAATCTAACTGAAAGCCTCACACTGCACAATCTAACTGAAAGCCTTACCATCACAATCTAACTGAAAGCCTTACACTACACAATCTAACTGAAAGCCTTACACTACACAATCTAACTGAAAACCTTACACTACACAATCTAACTGAAAGCCTTACCAACACAATCTAACTGAAAGCCTTACACTACACAATCTAACTGAAAGCCTTACTCTACACAATCTAACTGAAAGCCTTACACTACACAATCTAACTGAAAGCCTTACACTGCACAATCTAACTGAAAGCCTTACCATCACAATCTAACTGAAAGCCTTACACTGCACAATCTAACTGAAAGCCTTACACTACACAATCTAACTGAAAGCCTTACACTACACAATCTAACTGAAAGCCTCACACTGCACAATCTAACTGAAAGCCTTAATCTACCCAATCTAACTGAAAGCCTCACACTTCACAATCTAACTGAAAGCCTTACACTGCACAATCTAACTGAAAGCCTCACACTGCACAATCTAACTGAAAGCCTTACACTGCACAATCTAACTGAAAGCCTTACACTGCACAATCTAACTGAAAGCCTTACACTGCACAATCTAACTGAAAGCCTCACACTGCACAATCTAACTGAAAGCCTTACACTGCACAATCTAACTGAAAGCCTCACACTGCACAATCTAACTGAAAGCCTTACACTACACAATCTAACTGAAAGCCTTACTCTACACAATCTAACTGAAAGCCTTAATCTACACAATCTAACTGAAAGCCTTACTCTACACAATCTTACTGAAAGCCTTACTCTACACAATCTAACTGAAAGCCTTAATCTACACAATCTTACTGAAAGCCTTACTCTACACAATCTAACTGAAAGCCTTAATCTACACAATCTAACTCAAAGCCTTACACTTCAAAATCTAACTGAAAGCCTCACACTGCACAAGCTAACTGAAAGCCTTACTCTACACAATCTTACTGAAAGCCTTACACTACACAATCTAACTGAAAGCCTTACTCTACACAATCTAACTGAAAGCCTTACTCTACACAATCTAACTGAAAGCCTTACACTGCACAATCTAACTGAAAGCCTCACACTGCACAATCTAACTGAAAGCCTTACTCTACACAATCTAACTGAAAGCCTTACTCTACACAATCTAACTGAAAGCCTCACACTACACAATCTAACTGAAAGCCTTACTCTACACAATCTAACTGAAAGCCTTACTCTACACAATCTAACTGAAAGCCTTACTCTACACAATCTAACTGAAAGCCTTACTCTACACAATCTAACTGAAAGCCTTACACTACACAATCTAACTGAAAGCCTTACACTTCACAATCTAACTGAAAGCCTTACACTACACAATCTAACTGAAAGCCTTACACTACACAATCTAACTGAAAGCCTTACACTACACAATCTAACTGAAAGCCTCACACTGCACAATCTAACTGAAAGCCTTACCATCACAATCTAACTGAAAGCCTTACTCTACACAATCTTACTGAAAGCCTTACACTACACAATCTAACTGAAAGCCTTACTCTACACAATCTAACTGAAAGCCTTACTCTACACAATCTAACTGAAAGCCTTACACTGCACAATCTAACTGAAAGCCTCACACTGCACAATCTAACTGAAAGCCTTACACTACACAATCTAACTGAAAGCCTTACTCTACACAATCTAACTGAAAGCCTCACACTACACAATCTAACTGAAAGCCTTACTCTACACAATCTAACTGAAAGCCTTACTCTACACAATCTAACTGAAAGCCTTACTCTACACAATCTAACTGAAAGCCTTACTCTACACAATCTAACTGAAAGCCTCACACTACACAATCTAACTGAAAGCCTTACACTACACAATCTAACTGAAAGCCTTACACTGCACAATCTAACTGAAAGCCTTACACTACACAATCTAACTGAAAGCCTTACACTACACAATCTAACTGAAAGCCTTACACTACACAATCTAACTGAAAGCCTCACACTGCACAATCTAACTGAAAGCCTTACCATCACAATCTAACTGAAAGCCTTACACTACACAATCTAACTGAAAGCCTTACTCTACCCAATCTAACTGAAAGCCTTACACTACACAATCTAACTGAAAGCCTTACCATCACAATCTAACTGAAAGCCTTACACTACACAATCTAACTGAAAGCCTCACACTACACAATCTAACTGAAAGCCTTACACTACACAATCTAACTGAAAGCCTTACACTACACAATCTAACTGAAAGCCTTACACTACACAATCTAACTGAAAGCCTTACACTACACAATATAACTTAAAGCCTTAATCTACACAATCTAACTGAAAGCCTTACACTACACAATCTAACTGAAAGCCTTACAATGCACAATCTAACTGAAAGCCTTACTCTACACAATCTAACTGAAAGCCTTACACTACACAATCTAACTGAAAGCCTTACACTACACAATCTAACTGAAAGCCTTACTCTACACAATCTAACTGAAAGCCTTACACTACACAATCTAACTGAAAGCCTTACAATGCACAATCTAACTGAAAGCCTTACACTGCACAATCTAACTGAAAGCCTCACACTGCACAATCTAACTGAAAGCCTTACACTACACAATCTAACTGAAAGCCTTACACTACACAATCTAACTGAAAGCCTTACACTGCACAATCTAACTGAAAGCCTTACACTACACAATCTAACTGAAAGCCTTACACTACACAATCTAGCTGAAAGCCTTACACTACACAATCTAGCTGAAAGCCTTACACCACACAATCTAACTGAAAGCCTTTCCATCACAATCGACTGTGCAACTGGAAGACTTCGTTTATTATGTCGATTTCATTACATTTCACACCTCACACGATTTAGAATGGACTTTGCATAGATTTTTTTATTCAGCCAAAAACAAGATGTACACTGCACAATCTAACTGAAACCTCCAGTGTACATCCCTCTCTCCCCTCGCAGTACATCCCTCACAGTACATCCCTCACTCACCTCACAGTACACCCTTCACTCTCCTCACAGTACACCCTCACTCACCTCACAGTACATCCCTCACTCACCTCACAGTACACCCCTCACAGTTCATCCCTCTCACATCACAGTTCATCCCTCACTCACCTCACAGTACACCCCTCACAGTACACCCCTCACAGTACATCCCTCACTCACCTCACAGTACATCCCTCTCACATCACAGTTCATCCCTCACTCACCTCACAGTACACCCCTCACAGTACACCCCTCACAGTACATCCCTCACTCACCTCACAGTACAGCCCTCACTCACCTCACAGTACACCCCTCAGAGTACATCACTCACTCACCTCACAGTACACCCCTCAGAGTACATCACTCACTCACCTCACAGTACATCACTCACTCACCTCACAGTACATCCCTCACTCACCTCACAGTACATCCCTCACCCACCTCACAGTACATCCCTCACCAACCTCACAGTACACCCCCCACCCACCTCACAATACATCCCTCACTCACCTCACAGTACATCCCTCACTCACCTCACAGTACATCACTCACCTCACAGTACATCCCTCACCCAACTCACAGTACATCCCTCACTCACCTCACAGCACACATCTCACAGTACATCCCTCACCCACCTCACAGTACACCCCTCACACCTCACAGTACATCCCTCACCCACCACACAGTACACCCCCACCCACCTCACAATACATCCCTCACTCACCTCACAACACACATCTCACAGTACATCCCTCACCCACCTCACAGCACACATCTCACAGTACATCCCTCACCCACCTCACAGCACACATCTCACAGTACATCCCTCACCCACCTCACAGTACACATCTCACAGTACATCCCTCACCCACCTCACAGTACACCCCCCACCCACCTCACAGTACACCCCTCACACCTCACAGTACATCCCTCACTCACCTCACAGCACACATCTCACAGTACATCCCTCACCCACCTCACAGTACACCCCTCACACCTCACAGTACACCCCTCACTCACCTCACAGTACACCCTTCACAGTACATCACTCACTCACATCACAGTACATCCCTCACTCACCTCACAGTACATCACTCACCTCACAGTACACCCCTCACTCCCCTCACAGTACATCCCTCACTCACCTCACAGTACATCCCTCACTCACCTCACAGTACACCCCTCACTCACCTCACAGTACACCCCTGACAGTACATCACTCACTCCCCTCACAGTACATCACTCACCTGACAGTACACCCCTCATTCCCCTCACAGTACATCCCTCACTCCCCTCACAGTACACCCCTCACAGTACACACCTCACTCACCTCACAGTACACCCCTCACAGTACATCAGTCACTCACCTCACAGTACAGCCCTCACTCACCTCACAGTACACCCCTCAGAGTACATCACTCACTCACCTCACAGTACATCCCTCACTCACCTCACAGTACATCCCTCACCCACCTCACAGTACATCCCTCACCAAGCTCACAGTACACCCCCCACCCACCTCACAATACATCCCTCACTCACCTCACAGTACATCCCTCACTCACCTCACAGTACATCACTCACCTCACAGTACATCCCTCACCCAACTCACAGTACATCCCTCACTCACCTCACAGCACACATCTCACAGTACATCCCTCACCCACCTCACAGCACACATCTCACAGTACATCCCTCACCCACCTCACAGTACACCCCTCACACCTCACAGTACATCCCTCACCCACCTCACAGTACACCCCCCACCCACCTCACAATACATCCCTCACTCACCTCACAACACACATCTCACAGTACATCCCTCACCCACCTCGCAGCACACATCTCACAGTACATCCCTCACCCACCTCACAGCACACATCTCACAGTACATCCCTCACCCACCTCACAGTACACCCCCCACCCACCTCACAGTACACCCCTCACACCTCACAGTACACCCCTCACATCTCACAGTACACACCCCACCCACCTCACAGTACATCCCTGACCCACCTCACAGTACATCCCTCACCCACCTCACAGTACATCCCTCACCTCACAGTACATCCCTCACCCAACTCACAGTACATCCCTCACTCACCTCACAGCACACATCTCACAGTACATCCCTCACCCACCTCACAGCACACATCTCACAGTACATCCCTCACCCACCTCACAGTACACCCCTCACACCTCACAGTACATCCCTCACCCACCTCACAGTACACCCCCCACCCACCTCACAATACATCCCTCACTCACCTCACAACACACATCTCACAGTACATCCCTCACCCACCTCACAGCACACATCTCACAGTACATCCCTCACCCACCTCATAGCACACATCTCACAGTACATCCCTCACCCACCTCACAGTACACCCCCCACCCACCTCACAGTACACCCCTCACACCTCACAGTACATCCCTCACTCACCTCACAGCACACATCTCACAGTACATCCCTCACCCACCTCACAGTACAGTACACCCCTCACACCTCACAGTACATCCCTCACTCACCTCACAGCACACATCTCACAGTACACCCCTCACACCTCACAGTACACCCCCCACACCTCACAGTACACCCCTCACACCTCACAGTACACCCCTCACATCTCACAGTACACCCCCCACCCACCTCACAGTACATCCCTCACCCACCTCACAGTACATCCCTCACCCACCTCACAGTACATCCCTCACCCACCTCACAGTACACCCCCCACCCACCTCACAGTACACCCCTCACACCTCACAGTACACCCCTCACATCTCACAGTACACACCCCACCCACCTCACAGTACATCCCTCACCCACCTCACAGTACATCCCTCACCCACCTCACAGTACATCCCTCACCCACCTCACAGTACACCCCCTACCCACCTCACAGTACACCCCTCACATTTCACAGTACACCCCCCACCCACCTCACAGTACATCCCTCACCCACCTCACAGTACATCCCTCACCCACCTCACAGTACATCCCTCACCCACCTCACAGTACACCCCCCACCCACCTCACAGTACATCCCTCACCCACCTCACAGTACACCCCCCACCCACCTCACAGTACATCCCTCACCCACCTCACAGTACATCCCCCACCCACCTCACAGTACACCCCTCACCCACCTCACAGTACACCCCCCACCCACCTCACAGTACACCCCCCATCCACCTCACAGTACATCCCCCACCCACCTCACAGTACATCCCTCACCCACCTCACAGTACACCCCCCACCCACCTCACAGTACATCCCTCACCCACCTCACAGTACACCCCCCACCCACCTCACAGTACATCCCTCACCCACCTCACAGTACACCCCCCACCCACCTCACAGTACATCCCTCACCCACCTCACAGTACATCCCCCACCCACCTCACAGTACACCCCTCACCCACCTCACAGTACATCCCCCACCCACCTCACAGTACACCCCCCACCCACCTCACAGTACATCCCCCACCCACCTCACAGTACACCCCTCACTCACCTCACAACACACATCTCACAGTACATCCCCCACCCACCTCACAGTACATCCCTCACCCACCTCACAGTACATCCCTCACCCACCTCACAGTACACTGTATCAGCTATCCTCAGTATGTTGGTCACGTCAACCTTCCATCCAGTGAACTTACTGAGGTACATGAACAACTTCTGGAAACACAACATTGTTCTGGTTAACACAGCGACATTTCAAATCAATTATCAGAACTCTTACCTTGATCAACACAGTGCACACGTAAACTTTACAGTGTACATATGCTTCAGTAGCTACAAATTATTTTAGATATCTAAAAGCTTTATACCTATGTCTTTTTTTTATTACTTATCTCAAAATACATACACTGTGAATTTGAAATTAATACAAGCGTTCTTATCTGAACACATTGGTGTTACGTAAGAATCACTGCACATGACATAAACAATATATCTCTTTACAAATTACATTGTGCTGTTTTACATTATGACGTCTACCACTTCACATTAGGACTAATATTTATCACTTTACATTATGACGTCTACCACTTCACATTAGAACTAACATTTATCTCTTTACATTATGACGTCTACCACTTCACATTAGGACTAATATTTATCACTTATCATTTATAACATAATGCCATCTATCACTTTACATAATACCATCTATCACTTTACATTTTATCATCTGTCGCTTTGTATTATGCCATCTATCACTTTACATTATACCATCTATCACTTTACATAATGCCATCTATCACTTTGCATAATGCCATCTATCACTTTACATAATGCCATCTATCACTTTGCATAATACCATCTTTCACTTTGCATAATGCCATCTATCACTTTGCATAATGCCATCTATCACTTTACATAATGCCATCTATCACTTTACATAATGCCATCTTTCACTTTACATAATGCCATCTGTCACTTTGCATCATACCATCTATCACTTTACATAATGCCATCTATCACTTTGCATAATGCCATCTATCACTTTACATAATGCCATCTATCACTTTACATAATGCCATCTATCACTTTACATAATGCCATCTGTCACTTTGCATAATACCATCTATCACTTTACATAATGCCATCTATCATTTTACATAATACCATCTATCACTTTACATAATGCCATCTATCACTTTGCATAATACCATCTTTCACTTTGCATAATGCCATCTATCACTTTGCATAATGCCATCTATCACTTTGCATAATACCATCTATCACTTTACATAATACCATCTATCACTTTGCAAAATGCCATCTATCACTTTACATAATACCATCTATCACTTTGCATAATACCATCTATCACTTTACATAATACCATCTATCACTTTGCATAATGCCATCTATCACTTTGCATAATGCCATCTATCACTTTACATAATGCCATCTATCACTTTACATAATGCCATCTATTACTTTGCATAATGCCATCTATCACTTTACATAATGCCATCTATCACTTTACATAATGCCATCTATCACTTTGCATAATGCCATCTATCACTTTACATAATGCCATCTATCACTTTGCATAATGCCATCTATCACTTTACATAATGCCATCTATCACTTTGCATAATGCCATCTATCACTTTACATAATGCCATCTTTCACTTTGCATAATGCCATCTATCACTTTACATAATACCATCTATCACTTTGCATAATACCATCTATCACTTTAGATTTTATCATCTGTCACATACAGTATGACATCTAACAATCTTCAATAAAGTTTACACGATATACAGCTTTTTCCATTGGACGAGAGGTCGGTCACATGAATGCGCAATTGACGTTCATAAGTGTATGAACGACACAATTTGACGTTCATACGTTTTTCATGAGATCGTGTTCTTGAAATGACGTAAACACCGACGAACTACTTCCATATTCCTGGGCAAACCCCTGGGAATTCCTTAGCACGAAAACATACATAAGTGTTCTTTCTGATAATTTAGAACCTTTATTCTTGGTCTCAGCGTTTCAGTATACATTGAGAAATTTCAGAGAGCGTGACTGCAAGATTGTTCACGAATATCCTCGCTGCGGCCTATCCTAATGAACAAACGAAGAAATGCACATCTAAACTATCGTAGTATCGACTCGTTCCGTGCCTAGGCTGACATTGACCATCTCCTGCAATCTATGAATTGACTTTAGTGTCTGTTTGACACATTCTTATTCACCTTTCAATGATCGGACAGTTGATCAATGACTAACACATGTAACCGCCACAGGTTCATTAACAACTACAGAAATCTCTCCCGTCACTTTTATCGTATCGGCCATTTTGACGTCTTGTACTTGATGTAAATGTATTACGACGCGCTGTCATTGTGACTGACTTACTGAGGTAGTTCTTTACAGACCTTTCTCATCTAATGAGGATATGAACACATGCACTGCATAAGATGTTTCTGAAGAGCATGTTGTGCATCCATACGCCCATGTCACCTCTCTTTTTGAGGAACTATTTTACTCCGCGATATAGCTGGTTGTTGTATGGCTGTCAGTGTAAACATGAAGTCACACGTACTAAGTATAATTGTGTTTAGATCTTGGCCTACATCCTTTGAGGTAAGAAATTGTGATAAAAAAATTATAAGAATTTACTTTAACATTGTATGAACTTCATCGCAAGCTCCGACGTTCGTACAGTTTGGTCCTCACTCTATGTAGGTTCATACCTCCAATGAACTCACACAAAGTGTAGGTCAATTCTTAATTAAATGACACAAAACCCTCGAGCAAAACCCCAGGGAACAGATGACTGGTACACTACCTCACAGCTCTTGAGAAACCTTCCCCATGCAGTGGATTTACTCCTCCATTCCTGTTTAAGTCTCGCCTGAAGGGGACACGGTGCCATGGACAACAGCTGTGTAAAACACAATGATTTTGTTACTACAATATGCTTGGATGAAATATGTTCCTGATCTGAGAAGGCCAAATAGTCCTATTTGGGTCTCAGCTGGCATGACCCCAAAAACACCAGTCTGACAGTAGCTGGTTCATACCAGTGTCATCAGAAGATGACAAATCTCCCCCAGCTCCCACAACAGCAAGAGGCAGCACTTCAGCCGCTGGTTAATAAATGTTTGGATAAAAAAACTTTCACGGTTTTCATGTTAAGCTCTGGAAACAAAATATGGATGGACAAACATACCAGACGATGACTTTATCCCCCCACAGTATATGATTTAAACAATATTTATTACCAAAAGAAGGAATGGGAATGCGTGCGTGCGTGCAGGGTTTTACGCCGCTTTAGGCAATATTCCAGCAATATCACGGCAGAGGACATCAGAAATGGGCTTCACATATTGTACCCATGTTGGGAGTCGAACCCGGGTCTTAGGCATGACAAGTGACTGCTTTAACCACTAGGCTACCCGACCGCCCCTGAGACATTAGGAGGAACAAGATCACATAGATATTCAGGGACCAACTTGTCTACCATTTTGTAAAATGTTATTAATTTATGAGATTGCCGTCTTTTGGATAAGGGTGTAAGGTTAGTTTCAGAGTATAAAGACTCATGACTAGCTCCACATATTGTTCTCAGTGCATCTAAATTTAGCCTTTCCAATCCTGCCATTATATAGCTGGTGTTAAACAACAAACAAACTTTCCAATACCAACACTTGTTCTTGAGAACAGTTACAGCTGGACAGGCGGTATTTGAAAGTCCTAAAGCAGTTAATCATTGGGCTTACTTTATCTACTATATTATCTATGTGATTTGATAATTTGACATTATATGCCAGGGGAACAAAAATGTAGGTCGTGTTAAGGTTGATGCCTCCTGTAAATGGTTACAGATGTCATACAAATTTCATTGTGGTAAGTGAAATGATGAGTTGGTTGGGTTTCCATAAAACAATGAATTACCGTTTCCCAGAGCAAGGAAATGAAATGTACGTTCAACCACACAACAAAACTTTACCTGATCGTGTTTTTCATCTTTATAATGCACTTTGATTGGCTGCAGCACTTTCTTCAAGTCACACTTGCTCACATTGGCCAGTAGTATCCCCGCCATTACACACTCTGCCGTCATCCGAGCTCGCAGGACGGATGTGCTACGCACATACACCTGAAACAATGGGTCATGGAAAAGTTAGCACTGTAGCTCACCTGGACATGTAGTCAACAGTTTTACATGTCAAAGTGACAGCCACTTAATTATAGCTCTGTGGTACTATGAGCATTATTATAATGACAACAAAACAACCATGCATAATTCTTGCTACTTGAATTTGTTACTTTACTTATGTTTAAGTTGGTCGGTATATGTGTGCTATGTTGTGGTTAGCAGCAGTTTGCCCATCAGATATTGTTTACATTAGTGACGGCCAGAACTGGCTGCTACATACATACTTTACAGGTCATGCCAGCCTGGCTTGTACCAGCTATCTATTTCCCTTCTCTAAGATGCACTGATAACCTGAACAGTTTATGCCAAATCTGTCATAGTCTAGAACTATTTGTTTTGACAGGAAGGAAGTTTCACAGAAGCATGCTCAGATATGAGCTTCCTCCCAGGAAGCTTACAAACCTTCCTCCCACACATGCACAGTTTGTACAGGTCAGCAGCCATTGTTATCAATTGGTAAACAATGACAAGCTGTTTTCATCCAAGCCATCCTGCCTCACGGGGCTTGTTTTGGAGAAACAAGCCCCGTGAGGCAGGATGGCTTGGATGAAAACAGCTTATTTAGCTCAGTTTGTAATAAGTTATTAGTAACATTTGTAATAAGTTATTAGTAACTGAGCTAAAACAGCTTCTACTGGAGGTAGAAATCAGTGTAGTTGTGCTCCACAAGTCATAATGACACCTGTGAGACAAAAAAAGATGCCCAAGGCACCTAGGAAGTCAGCCACTCCAGGGCGATCGGGAACCACAGAATCTCATGTCAATCTCCTGAATACTGACACAGGAGAAATTCTTCACGCCAAGAATGTCAACTTTTCAGGGACATCCACAGCATTCCAGTCTTCAGTCCATGTTAATGCTACAGGTAGACCGTCAACAGTAAGAAGCAATGTGAGAGATCAACGTCAATACAAGACATTCCCTCGGGACTGGTCGCTGCCCAATATCTGCAGCTATATCAAAGACACACTTAACATCACAGCTCCATCAGGCCTGACAGGACAGCAGTACCAGCTGTTTTATACTGATAATCTCCACCTTCTTAAAAACCAACCGTCTGATAGTTATATAAACACTCAAGTGCTTCCTCCAGCCACCCCACCTCATTCCAGTGTTGACTTGTCAGATATGATGATAGTGGAAAACTTACAAACAAGTTCAACGTCAGCAGATTCCATAAAAGTCATCACAATCTCAACTGCTACAACAACCCCAATATCGGTCACAACCAAATACCTCAATGCCCTGAACATTTCTTCATGGATGCACTGGCCAGTACTAGTCAAGGGTACACCTTGTACACCACCAGATTTGCTAAAGACAACCCCTTTGCAGTGGAGCCTAAAGGTAACCTCCCAGCAATGCCACTACAAATCAATGATGGTAATATACACAAGGTGGAAGTGGTCCTGTCTACACTCTGTCGCCAAATATTGGAAGGGTAGAGACGTTAACTTAGCTCTTCTTCTTATGCCAGATGATCTTTCAACTCCATCCAAAACAATACATGTCGATGACACAGAGTTATTTCTTAAGGGGCCTAACAATGGTGATTCCAGATTGTAAGTTCATTATTGCATGTGGTTGCTATAAGGATATCATGATTAGTCTCTGGCCACAATGCAGGAAAGAAATGGACAAGTATCAGCGCACTCATTGAAATGCACACTCAATATTATCTTACAACCAGTACCACAAGCGTTTCTCGGCAAAGGCGGCAGCATTACTGGAGCAGCAATACTGGAGGGTCAACTGGTGAAAAGTGGATGCTGAGTTCTACAAGACGACTCAACGCCTGTCAACATTGTCACGACGTCGGACATTCTACACAGTTCTGGTCCCTTGTTTCCACCTCTCAAGCTCCCAAAGCATAGTCATCACACTATGACGCCCCAGATCAGTGGTGGCAGTCAGACAAAAGATCAGATCAATATGGAAGAGCAATCATTATCCACCAAGGCATTCCACTTTGAAATAATTATATAGCCGATAAGTGCATCCATGTCAACAGCAAATACAGACATCTGTGTTTATTTTGCCATAAACCCCACTCTGCCCTGAAGTGCCGAAGTCTAGACACAGAAGAATGTACCAGCAAATGGCAAGATAAAACCTCTTCAAAGAAGAACTGACTAGGTGCATCTCCCTCCCCTGTATCCGTCCAACGCCTAGCTGCCTACCTGCTCATCCATCCAGACAACGAGTTTGTGCCAAGACTTATAACAGGGCTGACAAACGGATTCTTTACGGGTATTCAGAACCCTCCTCTCTGCCAATAAAGATCCAAATGTTACTGATAACTTATTACAAACTGAGCTAAATAAGGTTTACCTCATTGGTCCTTTTACTGTGTCTCCATTTCCCTATCATCGTATCAATCCCATAGGAATTGTCGAAGGCAAGTACTCTAGGAAACAACGCATGATTGCTGATTAATCTGCACTGCATAACGACCATGACATTCCCAGTTTAAACTCACTCATCGACAAAGAGCAGTATTCCCTGGTGTATGTTAAGCTGGATGACACCATACAAATCATCCAACACCTTGGACCCCACACCTATATGTGTAAAGCTGATATTGTGAATGCTTTCAAACTGATACCCATACATCACGCTCTCTGGCATCTAAAAGGTATTCATTGGAACAATTACTTCTACTACTTCACAAGATTGGTCTTCCGATACAGATCCAGCCCTAAAATATTGGACCTTTTATCTCAAGCCATCTGTTGGATAGCAACCACGGTGTACCACATTCCTCATATTCTTCATCTTCTCAATGATTTTCTCACAATAGACGCAAATGATGATGATGGCAATTCAACCATGAGCAAATTGCGATATCTCTTCAATGATGTCAAGATTCCATTGTCACAAAGAAAAAACATTGGCCCTGCAACATGTTTAGAGTACCTGGACATCATCCTAGACGCTGACAAGATGGAAGCTCAACTCCCAGCTGATAAAGTAGCTAGGATCATTGCTGTCATTGATTCAGTCCAAGAGAGAAGAAAGGTCACCAAACGACAACTGTCGAGTGTATTAGGACATTTAATTTTGCAATGCAGGTAATTAAACCAGATAGAGCCTTTGTTAGCTACCTGCTCAAGCTTGCGCAGTCTGTCCCCAAACTACATCACCATGTCAGTCTTACCCATGAGTGCAAACTAGACTTCTCAATGTGGTGTTCATTTTTAACAGACTGGAATGGCAAATCATTCTTCTACGAAGACGAGATCGCAGCACCAGGGATAGAACTATACACAGACGCTGCTGCATCCATTGGTTATTGTGCTTCTTTTCGGGGTAAATGGTTCGCGCAGAAGTGGCCAACAGATATTCATTTGAGGAACGTGTACGCAAAAATGATGTTATTTCTACCAAGCTCGAACGAGATAGAGTCAGAAAACTGTTAGCGGAAACGAAGCACTGTAAACTCGTATTTAAAACCGATCAACAAGCTGCTTGTACAATTGCTTAGCAAATATATAGCAAATATATAGCAAAATTATAGCAAAATTCAGCAACAAAATGGCAAAAGATACGATAAATTGAACATTAGCAGTTATTAAGTAATATTGTGGTTTGAAATCCACATTCTTTTACAACAGTTTATTATTTCGGGCTGTATTGGATATGCAATTTTTCATTATGTTAGACTTTAATATCTCCTTAGGTATTACATTATGGAATACGATGAACTAATCGAACAACTGCTCAAAGATGAGCCTGTAGATGATAAATCTTTAGATAGACATAGAAAAAGACTCGCGGCTTTGGTAGCCAGTGGAAAATGTTCCCAAAATTTTGGGGGAAATTATACCACTGAAAAAATTGATAACGTGTACGATGAAGAAATTGAAAAACTGTACGCGCGTTACGACTTTAGCCAGGGAACTTCCATGACTAAAACAATAGGTTCGCTATGTTACAACTATACAAAGTTGTAGCTAGTACGTTTCTTCCTACCCCGGCAGAAAATTGCATGTATTTCGCGAATCTCTCGAGAAAGATCCATTCATCGAACACGCTATTTAAAAAAAAAGTTAAAAAATTAGATGAGGTTCAATTAGAGTTAAGTCCTCATGTAATGTTATAAAAGCATGACTACTCCAGTTACAGACGGTAAAATGTTGGTAAACGCAACGTATCATTCAGCAACGGTCAGCATTTAAGGATGTTAAATCTGCCATGCACGAATACTTCCTTGTTTAGGGAAAGAAACTTGACCCAATACCAAGGCCAACAATAAGTCAGTTTTATACACCTACAGAGGCTCAGAAAGACTGCGAGATAGTATTTAAACGTGTGGGTTGTCGGTAGTTGCGATTTTCAGCGACACAATAAGCTATGATTCATGTCGGGCTGAGTCTTATCAGCTATTAACCCTGACTGCTGTGTCTATTTTTAGCTACACAATTACGCATAAGCTATGATTTATTACGTATCAGCTTGCAACATAAATAGCGATGACTCAACTGCTCACCAGTTGAGGTGTGATTAGCATTTAGACAAATGATATGATAGGTGTATAACCATGAATCTGTGCAGATTTACATTCATGGGAAAACCAATTCAATGCAACCGACGTTGCGTCAGTATATATTGAGGAATTCATGCTTATTACATCAGACAAGGAAATGTAAATTATGTGTTCTGTATGTGGGATAGGGGTCAAAGGTCGTTATTGTTTATGTAAGAAACACAGTGCTGATAGGATCAGGAACCAGATTATTTACGCTAGGAGGAGAGATTACATCAACGAAAGGAATGGGTTGGGGAGAATACGTGTTTAGATATATGAAAAAACAACCATTTAGACATTTGACTCATTTTGCATATACCATTTTGCATATATTAAAATTTGAACATTATTGTAATCAAATGCCAGTACCGTACATAATTTACGCTGACTTCCAAGCAAACCTATAGAAAAT